CAATGGAGTCGGTTTGGAGGCAGGATTATCCAATGACAATACGGAGTAATACTGTCCATTATTGATCATTATTCTGTTTGGTGACTTTAGAGGTGCAGATAATACATACTTCAGCTTTAATACCAGTACTGGGTGAAGCTAACCAGAGCTGAGCACTACAGCAGTACACTGCCTTAAGCAAGCTATCATACTTAATATGATGTGCCAGTAAGCCATGAGAGCCCTCTCTGTGAATAATACCATGAGGCAGGTTTATCAATTTTCACCAGTGGACCTTCCATTACATACAGTGACACTGCGCTACAACACTCGAGTTTGATATCTCTCTTTTGACTGGGTTTATTAGGTTTCTCTATTGAGGAAATGTTGGATTTGTTTACGTTCAATCAGCTCAGACATACAGAGGAAGACTGATGAGATCAGATCAGTGTTGCTTATACAGTGTTTGAAGAAAACACATCTTTTTCACTGAAGTCTTGTTTGTTCATTTCACATCTGTCTGGGAGGATAGTACCATTGATCTTTTATGTCTAATTTAGCTATCTGCAGTCATTATGCTTAGCCATGCAAAATTCGAGAAGGACAAGAGAACATAATGATCAGAACATGATACAACTGGAGAATACAAGACAATAACATAAGTAGACGTGACAGAACACAAAGTCCTGTTTAGTTCATGAAAAAATCATTTTACTATAAATAACACTTACATAGCATTTGAAAAATGTAAATTAAGGATCTTGTACACTTTTTCAGTCCACATGTGACAGAAAGTTATAAATAAACACTTCTAAAAGAGTAAAAACTCAATACTTGCAATTCATTTGCTGCATATCCAAAAAAATGATTACACACATGATGCCAATCTTCTTTTATCATTTCATGTGCAAAAATAAAGTGCTTTAAGAACTTCTCAACTCTGAAAAAAAAAAAGAAGAACTTGCTTGGGATGCTTATACACTCTCACTCTTAAAAATAAAGGTGCTTCACGATGCCATAGGAGAACCTTTTTGTCTAAATGGTTCCATAAAGAACCTTTAACATCGGAAGAACCTTTCTGTTTGACAAAAGGTTCTTTGTGGCAAAAGAAGGTTCTTCAGATTACAAAAAGGTAAGAAAGAGATGGTTATTTAAAGAACCTTTGACTGAATGGTTCTTTGTGGAACCAAAAATGGTTCTTCTATGGCATCGCTTGAAGAACCTTTTGAAGCATTTTTAAGAGTGTATATGGAATTTCTTAGTAGATTTATAAACACACACATTAAAATAGAGGATACTAAGACTTGTTTCAGTCGTGAAAGATGAATGAACTGAATAAATGATTCAATGACTCATTCTAACTTGTCATCACAGAACGGTGACCTGCAGAAAGAGTTACTGAATAAATCAGTGAACAACTCTGAACAAATCTTTTCGGTGAATGGATTCAAAAGTCACTGAGATTAATCAAAATCCCCACCACCACAGAAAGCTCTTACTCCAGATTTATTTGATATTAATTTCTGATGATTTTCCTCCCCATGGTAATCATTTGCGTCTGGTGGGTTAGTACAGTTCTGTCATGACAACTCTCGGAGAGTTTAGCATGGTAATATACATGGCAATGTCAATGTGTTAGGTCTAGGTGGAATAGATCTGCAACGCTGGTGCTGCAGAGCAAGTACTGAGACTTAATACTGCCAGTACATCCATGACAGGCTGCTGTGAGCATGTAAAAAACACTGCTGCTGCAGATATAACATATATGAGACAACCCCATATAAAACATACATGAAATCACCCCATAGCAGATCTATACAGGTGGAGCTGGGGAAGGTGGAGGGTTTCTGAAGCATGCTGCAACTGCTACAGCGAGCACTAGTCGAGAATTTGAATGTCTGAGCAGCAAGCTCATTAGCTGCTGATACAAAAATAACCGATCGTGAATAATGATGTCATTATGTCAGATTGAGTTAGACCTATCGGCCTGCTCCATCTAGAGTTTCATGACAGAACTTTGTATTTGAATCATTTTAGTGATTAGTCCCTCAACTTAATCACAGCTCATCATTACTCCAGCTCAGAGGGCTGCGTCACATGTACTGAGCTGGCTTATGCCAACGCTGTGGTTTTAGTACAATGACCTGTTGCTGGAGTTCAGTCCTTTACTACATTACCCACGGACTACTGCATTGCCCGTTTAGAAAAGACTCCCAGTATTGCCATGGCAACGGGCCAGGGGATAACAGATGGTGGGAGCATGTGCTCAGTGGCAGTTAAAGAGGGAGCGCTGATAGTAAGGGGGGAAAGTGGGTCAGGATCAGCCACAGTAGGACCAGACAACGCTTAACACCAGACAGGCCACACACACACATATACAATGTTATTTAATAATTATTTCTAATTAGAGCTGCAAATGGAAGAATTCATTCATATTTCACAGGGATTTAAAATATGCAAGCTCTCTTTTCATTATTCACAAAGTCAAGAACTTTCTACATGACATTTCACATCTATATTACATTTAGTTATGCTCTTAGCAAATATTTCATACTAAAGTGAGTTATGATACACATTATGTTAACTGACAAATAGAAAAAAATATTTTTCAGGTGGTGTAAGAAAAAACTTGCACACTCTTCTTCACACAAGTCAAATTTCTGATGCTGTTAATCATTTTAGAAATCAACTGAGATTGTTCTTAAGGAAGTTCACCAGCTGCTAAACATCCTGCTGTTTCCTTAGCTGTGCTTCTTTCTATATCAAGATGACATGAAGTCAAGATGACATGAAACCAGTTTCTGTGGTTGTTACTGATAACAGTTCAGAAATCATACTCAAGTTTCACCCCTAGTGATGTTCTGTTTTGGGATCTCCTCAAGGAAAAAGTAGTAAATAAAATGAGAGACTGCATTATCCAAAACAATAAAGACACAGCAATCCAAAATTTTGCAAATGTTATACAAATTGTAATAACAATATTAAGCATAAATTGTTGCAATCAAACACAAATCTGACAAATGTCCATCCAAAAGTGTCATGCAAACATACAAATATTTTTGTACTATTTTACCATCTCTTCAAACAAAGGCAAGGCACAATTCTCACTTCTAACTAGCAAAAACTAGTCCTAAAATGTCTTTTGTATGTGTATGTGTGTATATATATATATAAAGTTGTGTGGCATGTTTTGCATATAAAGCAAAATATCAATTAATATTTGTTAACCTAATGTTGTGGCATTAACTGCAGAGGATTAAACAAGGGTGTTTGAATAAGTATTTAATTCTTACTGTAACCACATTTAAACATTTTGGGGCTCAATAGCCTTTATAAAATTCACTAAAATGGGGATTTAAAGCATGATAAACTCTCATGATAAAGCTCTCAAAGATGCCAGAAGCCTATTTCCCACACTTTTACGTGACGTGACGTGCAGCCAAGTATGTTGTCCCATTCTCGGAATTTGTGCTCTGCATCTATCCCATCCAACACACACAGCAGTGAGTAGTGAACAAACACATACAAACACACACACACACACACACACACACACACGCACACACACACACACACACACACACACACACAGTGAACAGCCATTTTTTGCTGTGGTGTCCAGGAAGCAGTTGGGGGTTCGGTGCCTTGCTCAAGGGTCTCACCTCAGTCCACCTTCCTCCACCAAGGGTCATTCAATCCCCCCACCTACAATCCCTGCTGGTACCGAGACTCGCAACTTTGCGACCTTTGGGCTACAAGTCCAACTCTCTAACCATTAGGCCACAACAACAACAACAACAACATTTGAGCAACATGTAGTCTGTGTTTTCCAAATGTAAAAGTGTTTTGATTCACGTACTTAGAGAAATAAGAGAGAGATAGTCAATATTTCATTTTCCAGTGCTGATATATACATTAATAGATGAGTACAAACAGCACAAAGAAAATATTGCTGCAACTATATAAATCCAGCACGCTGCACATGTGACTGCTTGAGCTGTTGATTTATTCCCCAACACAAGCGGATTGCCTTCACTTTCACGAAAAAAACAATCACAATTCACCAGATGTTTCTTAAATGTAGCATAGTGTCTAGGACATCTCAGACAGCCCATGTGTTTGTAAAAATACAGACTCTGCAGACTTGCGCTGTTACATGACAAGCAGTGATTCTGATGTTACATACATTGGTAAATCCAGTTCAATTCAACAGAGCATGTTTAGTGCCAGAACAGAAGTAATTATGGCAGTTCATGCTTAACCAGACCCTTGCATTACATGAATTATAATAACATTTCAACTCTAAAAGCTGTAAATATAAAGAGATATACAGTGTGGAATAATTCTGAACTTTTAAGAGCCACCTTTCAACATATTTGACTCTTCGTTATGTTGTTCTCTGTGAAGATTTACATTTACATTAGAGACAGATGGGTATTTTTACTGATATATGAACAATTCATGTACGTTCTACATGAAACATGGGGTATTTAAATAATACTGTGTCAAAAAGCACAAAGCTGTGTCTGCATATCGGTTATAAGACACATAAAAATAATTGGTATTGGTCAGAAACAATACAAAACTGATCAGTAGTGAAGAGTGACCAACTACCAGTTTGACCAATATTTTGTTTTGTTTTCAAGTAACACTTTTCTACATAAATGATTATTTAATATCGGTTCTATGATCAACTGAGTGCTCTAAAGAATAGGACTCAATTATTTTAATTAACGCCTAAGTTAAATGTTAAAGAAATAGCATTTTCTAAATTACTGTTGTTGTTGGTTTTATTATTATTAATATTATTATGATGATGATCTTTATCATTATTATATTACTTCTACTACTACTATTAATAATAATAATTTAAATGCACGTTTTCATGAATTATTTCGCGGTTATTGTTTTAAATAGTCCGTAATAGTAAGCAATTGGTCTTGAAAAAACAGAAGTGATCGACAACGTAAATTGAGACAGAGAGATATTAAAGAACACTAAGAAGAAAGAGTCTATCTTACCTCGTGTCAAAACGATGGACATCAGTGGAAGAACCAATTTTAAAATCATTATGGTCTTGTTTAAGATGTACCGATTTCAAAACAAGTGGTGCGGTATGAGTTTAACAGAATGCACAATCCCTTAGAGAACTATTATCCAGGTTACCCATTTATTGAGATGTTACAGGAAAAATATATTCAGATGTCCAATTGTTAATCTGAATTTGTCAGCCAGTTCGGATGGACACCACGCACTGGACCGAACCCTTCAATACTCCGATTGAGTAAAATAATTACGCGCATCGAGACGCACTTGAACTGCGCGCTTGGGCAGCGGATCGAACATAAATCAGCTTAAAGCACTGAGATTAAAGAAGAATGGATGACCGTATCAACATAAACCTAAGATCTCTGTCCAGTTGCAGCCTAGACTAAAGACTGAACGGGTTTTCTTCGCTCAGTTGTTGTCCTATCGTCCTGGAGCGGTTATCATCCTCATCCATGCGCTTTTGACAAAAGTCTCTAAACCTCATCTGTTCCGCTGAAACTCGTCGTATTAATTTCACCTGTTCATTAAAACAAAACTGATAAACTGAATTGATCAAAAGTGACAGTGAAGACATTTAAAATGTTACTCAAGTTCTGCTGTTCTTTTGAACTTTCTCAGCGAAGAATGCTGAAAGATTTTATTTTGGTTTTCACAAAAATGTTAAGCAGCACAACTGTTTTCAACACTGATAATAACAAAAGAAAGAAAAAGAAATTCTAATACCATAATATATAATATAATATATAAATATATATATACGAGACTTGTCATTTGCACTTATATATTGTTGCTCTTTTGTTAGTTTTGACTGCTTTTATTGTCCTCATTTGTAAGTCGCTTTGGATAAAAGCGTCTGCTAAATGACTAAATAAATAAATAAATATAAAAGTATACTTTTCTATGAATACAAAAATGTATCACAATCAATAATACATTACCTCATGTACAGCTAAAAAAAGTAGACCTCTCTGTACATTTTTTTTTTTTCATTTAGCTTTACCGACTCACTTTTGTTAAATGGAAAAGAGCATCCAGGACAAAAAGGAGGCATGAGATTGAGCATATGATAACAACTATATTTTTTGTGAGAACTTTTTAACATAAAATAAAAAATAAATAACTGCTGAACTGTTGACTTTACAGTAATGTTTACAAAGCATCATGCACATATGCAAATATCTACACTGTAAAAAAATCTGTGACATTTAAGGTAAAATACTGGCAGCTGTGGTTGCCAGAACTTTACCGTTAAAAATATGGTAGCTACATTTTAGGTTTTACAGACTTAACTTAAATTCACAATAACATACCGTATTTCATTAACTGATGTAATATTAATAAACCAACATATTGAAGTACTAATATCTGTTTTGAACCAATGTAATGCACTGATAACCACCAAAAACAGGTGGCGATGAGAAAGTCACATGTTGAACCAAAGCTCATCACAAACAGCTCTTCTACGAGCTGAGGAAGGCAATATTTATATATAGAAGGTGCACAGTCTCATTCACACAAACACTAAACACCATCATGGTAACACACATGATACTGAAATAATGCAATAACATTAATTTAACAACCTTAAATGTAAGATAAAACCCTAATGTACACAACTAATAAGAAAAAACTAAGAAGAAACATAGTTATTTAAACAAAAAAACCCCCCATCAAATATGAAGTGTCATTCAGGGAATTCTGAGAGTGTCAATTTAAGGTTTTTCACTGTAAATTATACAATGACTTTTTATTTTTCACTTCCAAAAACCCTATTTCTAACAGTAATTTACTGTACATTTATTCACCGTATATAGTATGGAAACTTACTGTTATCCAATTAACAGGTTTTTACTGTAATATTTTTACAGTCTTTTACTGTTAAAATCACAATAATTTTTTACAGTGTAAATAACAGGACTTATGATTTCTCATCTTCAGTTCTGATGATCCCAGTGTTGTGTCAGGATGAAGAGAGTGTAATTACAGTATGCCAAGAGGAAGATAATGACCTCAGAGTGGACTGCCTTCTGGAGCCCAGACCCAACTACCACACAGACTATGAGTTCTCCATGTCCAAAGGCCAAAAGGAGATCATCATAAACACCAACATCTCTGGAATCATGCCTGAACCCAAGTTCAGGCATAACACATTTGTGACAGAGCTTGAACCATACGGATTCAGGCTGACCATTATGAGCTTTGCCATCTCTGAGAATACAACTTTCATTTGCAAAGTAACCAAGATCCAGAAGACTCTGTTTGTTGAATTAGGTACAGCAGCTCTATGGTGTCACTATATAAAACTAGAATGAATACTTTCTCTGCCTAAACCTAAACTTGTCTTTGCCTTCCAGACAGCGTTGAGCCCTGCTCTGCCATCAGTGTGTTTCTGCTGGGTTATCCTTGGCTTAATCTTCTGGTTCCTCTGTGCATCATACAGCTATGGGAAGCCTTTTAAGAAACAGTCAGCTACGACATCATATTTCCAGAGTCTAAATAAAGTATTTCTGTAGATTTCTCAGCATATTTGGGTATTTTAAGAAATGCTGTTCAATCTACTTGCTCTGCCTTTACTGTAAAGTAAGTGCTGGTTGCTGCCTCTATGAAGGTATATTTATTTATTTTTTTGCCTTTTTACGTGTCTAGCTAAAGCACAGCTGAGGACATGTCCTGTGTGCAATAAGTTAAAAGATATTTAAGGTTCTTGACTGCTAATGAGGGGTACCAAAATTGTTGATAAAGTTATGCCAAACAATTGTACTGCATCTTAAAATGCTTCGAATGAAATGCATTAGTATAGATAAATAAATAAATGTAATAATTTATTGACTTCATTTCCCAGCACAATGAAAAAATACATGTCTATCTGATTTTTCCTCAAAGTTCACATGTTTAATTGTGCACAGTCGCACATTGTTTAATGTTTGTGTGAAAGAAAAATTCTTTAATGGCATATAAAGTATAGTTTATTTTGATCTTTAATAAAACATGTCACTGGTATTACAGCTCTTCATTTTGTGAAATAAAATAAAGCAACAAAATAAAGAATAAAAGTTGGCGTACTAATAATTTCAAGATTAAAATATGAAATACATAAAACATAACTCAAAGATATGTGCATGAAGTGTGATTAATTTTTTCATACCCAGCTTCAGGGTCAAAATGCATAGTACAGTATATGATTACCCTTTTAAAGCACATGTGCAGTTATACATTTAAAACATTTCAGAACTACAAATGCCACACTTGATGGGGAAAACAGATTTAATTAACAGTAAACAATTATCCACGTACTGGCATTGGGTGAATTTCATCAATGACTGTGATTTGTCTTGGATCCCAAACACAATTTGTACTATTAACTTACTATTAAAATAACAATGAATTATGTAAAATTGCATGCAAGTAACCCTAAGTCAAACCCAAATCCTAACCCTAACCATATAGTAAGTACATGTAGTTAATTAATATTACACATTACTTATATGTATAATTACACTGTAACAAAGACACCTTAAAATAAAGTGTAACCAACTAATTTAAGTTGTTATTATGAGATTTTTAAAATGGCTTTAAAGCACCAGATACATTTTTACAAAGACAAAGTGGTGACTTACCACTCATGTTGCTTCTAATGCTGACTGCAAATCTTCAGAAAGCACCCCCCCCCCACATGACTGATTGATTTAAATGTAGCAACATACTATAAGTGAGATCTTTATAAAATGCATACATGAAAAGCTACACCAAATACACAAACACCACATCTCTGTCACAAAGTACAGCAAATCATGGACACATTTTATTAAATAGTTTCACAGCAGATGGAAGAAAATACCTTCTATACAACCCAACCGCTGGGTCAAAACAACCCAATAGCTGGGTTTGTCCCTTTTTAACCCAGCGCTGGGTTATATTTAACCCAGCATTTTTAAGAGTGTATTGCTCTTTTAAGCAGCGTGGATAAATTAGTATGTTGCTATAAATGAACTACACATCATGGAGGGAGTGAGATTCATACTTCATGATGGAAGACAGCTTCCCTACCATCTTTTCTTGCCCAATTTCATCAACAGAGGGCAGAGAGCACCCCACAACTGAGCTGACCTTCCTAAACAGTTTGTTAAGTCTTTTCTGTCCCTCTCAGAAATCCCTCCACCCCAACACACAACAGCATAGAAAATAACAGATGCAACAACTGTATCATAAAAAGGCCTTAGCAATACCCGGCACACCCCAAAAGATCTCAATCATGTGAATACAACATGTGTATACGACTCTGACCCCTTTTAATTCATATGATCACACCAGTCTAGCTTGTTATTTAAACAGATTTCCAAGTATTTGTAAGATTTCACAATTTCAGTATACACCCCACGGATGGTTACAGTGGATATGTGCTGTGTGTGTGTGTGTTTTTTTATTATACTAAAATTTCTTTGGTTTTACTTGCATTAAGTTCAAGGCTATTCAGCCTACACCAGTCCACAAAGTTCACAATCAGCTCTCTATATTCATCTTCATTTTTATCAGCAGAGGTGGACAAAGTACACAACTCCATTACTTGAGTGAAAGTACAGATACTGCTGGTCAAATATTACTCCATTACAAGTGAAAGTTGTAAAGACAGATTTGTACTTAAGAGTACAGAAGTACTTGCTTTTAACAGTACTTAGTACTCAGTTGGCTGTTTCATTTAGAAGGCGGGACCATATTGCCATTGCAGTTTCTCACATTCATAAGTATAGGAGTGAACCGTCTTTGTATTTCTATAGTATTTGGTTAAATGCACTTGAAAAGTCAAAAAACATAATTCTCATTATACTTCCGGCTCTCTCCAAGTGAGTCGGGGCCTAATAGTTAGAGTGTCAGACTTGTAACCCAAAGGGCGTGGGTCTGAGTCTCGGATTGTAGGCAGTGTTGGGCAAGTTAGTTCCAAAATGTAATACATTATATATTACTAGTTACTGTCTTTTGAAAGTAATTAGTTACATTACAATATTACTGTCTCTGAATTGTAATGCGTTACACTTCTTTTGAGTTACTTTTGAGTTACTTTCACCAAAATATCCACAGAAGTATTATAAAATGCCAAAATGTAGTTTATTGCTGCTCAATAAACTACATCTAAATATTCCCGCACAGTTTAATAGTAATGACTTTATGAATTTCTTCACTGATAAAATAGATAACATCAGAAATACAATAACAAATGTAGATTCTACAGCGTATAATACTTTAGCTTCATTCATCGCACCAAAAGATAAACTGCAGTGCTTTACAGCTATAGGACAGGAAGAGGTAAATAAACTTATCACTGCATCTAAACCAACAACATGCCTGTTAGATCCTGTACCCACTAAATTACTGAAAGAGTTGTTACCGGTAGCAGAATTGTTAAAAGCGCTATATAAATAAAGGTGACTTGACTTGACTTGACTCATTCTACACCCAGTGTAGGGTAATGTGGTAGGTCTATATAGCATACAATTATAAAATCATATTTAGATGCCGGTATGTAGGTCTACATTAATGTTACGTTGTAGTTTAGGTTAAACACAGATAAGCAGAAACCACATTATTACATTCATAAATAACACCGGTAAATAAAGTGAAATGTTATAATGTACAAACAATAAACACAATACCTAGCCTATAGGCAAATTTGAACGGTTTCAGAAGAAAACAAGAATGAAAAATATAAGTTGCTAAACAAGCCAAAACGAATTAGGCTAATCAGTGGCGGCGATAGGGTGGCGCTTAACAGGGACCATCAGAAACTTGCTTAGCCCGGGCACAGCCCCCCCAAGGATTTCCTAATGATGTTCCCTTATTTTTGGTGTCACTTTCATTAACATTAAAAAAAATAAACATAAAAAAAAATGCCTAATATGTGGCCTATAAACGATTGATATTATGGGGGAGGGGTCAAGCAACACAAGCAAGCAACGCGCGCTGCATTAACGGCGCATATTCTCTGAGACAACACGAGACAAAATTACTTCAATATAGGCTGATGATGGTATATATCTGTCTTAAATTATTCCCTTAATATTTCTATTGTGGCCCGTATAGTGAAAAACATGAGAAGAAACGTATTTAGCATTAAAAAGGTTGTTTTTGAAAATCTGTGCACGAAATAAAGCTGCTCTTAATTTTCATCGATGACTGCAGTGTTGATAATTTTTATTATAGGCCTATAATTCAATTGTATAAATTAATAGACCTGTTTAAAAAAAACATTTAGGAGTAGCCTAAACTAATAGCCTAAATTTTAATTATCCTCACAGCGCAGCATACGGCGCGGAACGGCATAGTCATTTTGTTACATATCCGGTCCATGAACTTCCGTCTGCTAGCCATCAGAGGTCACCCTTTCCATTTTTATTGACTCTCGCACTCACACTGTTGCATATCACCCCGGACTACATATCCCATCATTCATAGCACTGATTGCACACAGCACTGATTGGACACAGCACTGACTGCACACAGCTGTTTCATATCACTCACTCACTATTTAACACTCCATCTCACTCCTTCTAACTGCCGAGTATTGTTTAGCGTGTATGCGCTTATCGCCAGCAGTGATAGCTACTCTACAGAGCCCTCTTTAGCTTCCTAGCCCAGCCTAGTCTTGCCTTGTCTGTTTTGTCGGTTTCTGATCTGTGCCTGTTTTCCTGGATTTATCCCTTTAGTCTCGCCCTTGTGATCCTGTTCGCCAATCGTTGACCTACGCTAGACCTAGGACTATTATTGTGTCTTGCCTGCCATATACCTGTTTGCCACTGTTCGACCCTGCCTGTGTTTCTGACCTCCTCTGATGTGAATAAAGCTTGCATATGGATCCGCACGTCTCACATCTTGTCAGCCCCGTAATACATATAGACTATGATTTAACAAAAACAGATTTTGTTATTTTTAGTTAAACTTAATTTTTGTTGCTTGTCTGCGCTCGTCCGCCGCCTTTTTTCTCTTCTCTGATCCTTTTCTCAGATAAACTGAAAATAACAGGAGTGTGTCCATCCCCTAATTCCAGCAACAGAAGATAGACAAACTACTTTACCCGCGGAATTTTTTCTCTGGTGCTGTTTTGCGGTGTTAGTAATATGTTGTTGTAACTTGCGTTACTGAGATTGTAACGAGTAATAATATTACCCAAATTTGATTAGTAATGCGTTATATTATTGCGTTACAGCAAAACGTAATATACTACTGTAATATTATTACTTTTGTAATGCATTACTCCCAACACTGATTGTAGGTGGGGGAAGTGAATGAGCAGTGCTCTCTTCCAACTTTAATGCCATGACTGAGGTGCCTTGAGCAAGGCACCGAATCCCCAACTGCTCCCTGTGTGTTTGTTCACTACTCACTGATGTGTGTGTGTGCACATGGGTGGGATAAATGCAGAGCACAAATTCCAAGTATGGTACAACTGGTGCGGTCGTTGAGGGGTGTTTTGGGAGGGGTCCCCCCCGGAACGCGATCGCGAACGGACTGAGGGGTACAAAACATGAGCTCCGCTAGAGGGCACTACATCCCTTGCCGTTACCACTCACCCCAGACTCCATTTCCCAGTTTCCCTCTGCCCAGGAACTCATTAACAGTTGACACCTGTTTCATATCAGGAGGACTATTTAAGATGCAAGCAAACACACACACTCACATTGCTGAGTATTGTTTTTTTATTGTTAGCTTGTAATGTTTGCTAGTTTCCGTGTTTCTGCCTGCGTTTCCTTGTTTTCCTTTGCCTTGCCTTTTTGTTTTTTGGATCTTGGACTGTTTACCTGGTTTTTACAATTGTTTTGCTGCCTGCCCTGACCATTGCCTGTTTACGGATTACTCTTTGCCTGGGATTTTATTTTTTGCTGGTACTGGACCCTGCCTGTCTGACCACGTTCATGAATAAAGCCTGGATTTAAAGGCCTCCTGAAGTGAATCGGTGCATTTGTGTAAGAAAAATATCCATATTTAAAACTTTATAAACAATAGCTTCAGCTAACTGTCATATGCGCGTTCACGAGGGAGCGGTGTTTTATGACGTTGGACATAAGCATAGTGTAAGCTGCGGTGAGAAGTGACGAACACAGAAGCACAGAGGAGAGAGCAAAACAAAACACCGGTCACAAATTAAAAGAACAAAACGAGGATTTGTAAAGAAAATTGTCAGAGGATTTCGATATAAGCTAAGTGGAAACTGGATTTCCTTTGCTGTAATCAAAACTTGGTTCTCGCGAGACTAGCATATTCTCACTGGAATTTACGCTACGCCCACGTCCTACGTCATGCGCTGGAACACATGTCTCTCGTGAACTCACGTAGGACAGAAAAAAGTTATACACCTAGGATGGCTTGAGGGTGAGTAAATCATGGGGTAATTTTCATTTTTGGGTGAACTATTCCTTTAAGGTATAGAAAAACTTATAGACAAATTTAATCTGGTAAATGCTACTAAGGCATAAAGGTATAAATAAATTATAAACATTAACATCATGATCTTCTGTAAAGCTTCTTTGAAACTGTAATGTGGAAAAAAAGGCTAGGCTATATAAATAACCTGTTTGACTTGACTTTTAAGGATGATTGTCAGCTCATCACATTGTGACAGTGTTACTCATATTTAGAGCTTACATTTGAAACTATTTATCATGTAAAGTGCTGAAAATTTGAAAAAAAGAAGTAGAGTAAAAGAAGAACTAAAAGTAGCCTTAAAAAATAAGTATAACTGAAGAGGAATTAAATACAGTTTAAATAATTAAATATGCACATACTACACATAAACATGTTTAGCTAAAATAATAAATAGTAATAACAAAATCAGAAAGTTAGTTTTAAGGCCGTAGCTGATCGTTTTTATTCCTTTTAGACGGGTTTTGAGTCGGGCTTGGACTGGAAATTTTCCTGGGACCTGGCAACTCTGTTTGGAGAGACTAGAGGGCTTACACAGCGATCAGTCTCAATATCTATACTTAGCTACAGTTATTAAAGTATCGTTCAGGGGAGTAGAGTCGTTTATGCAAAACATACCCGCTTACAGCACCTTTCAATTTTTTATAAAATGAACAATATAATATAAAGGTATGATATAATCTGGTTATGTAGGCTAAGTGAAAAGTGAAAGTGAAAGTATGTGTTTGCGCGTCAGATTACAGTAACACACTTGGAAAAGACAAAAGTAAGGAAGTGGAATTTTCTTTCTCAAGGTTGGCAAATTGCTTTTTCGTCGTCATTTTATGTATATTAATTTAAAGCCGCTAAAACAGTCTGCGTAGTAAAGGTTGATCTTGGAAGCGGTTTGACCGATTTCGATACTATAATGTCGTCCTCCGAGGTACTGGGCCTTATGGATCTTGAGGTGTTGTTGCTGCCAAATGCACGTGTGGAGATAAACTGTCAATCAAGCGAAAGCAGTATATTTATTTTTAATTTATTTAAAAAAGAAAGTAATGGAAATATGTATGTGGTTTCACAGTATAATAATCTTCCATCAGGTCCATCGAGGCATTTTTAAGGGATATTTTACCATTTGAATGTTTTGATTGTTTAATTCAACCTTAAATTCATAATTGTTTCTAAAATTGTGTTTTGTAGGAACTGCAGTCTTATAAAGGAGCATCCAAAGATCATTGCAATCTCAAATAGTTGTGTAAGTGCCAAAATGCCAGTGGAATTCAGTGGATGGGAGGCATACTGTGATAAATCAAAGCACCTTAAACCAGGTCAAGAGCCCAAGAAGAGCCATGGCTATATTATGTACCATGGGACACACAAAAGCAATGCCCCAGTGATCATGTCATCAGGGTTTCGGCCCTCTGCTGGGGGAACTCTGGGCCCTGGTGTCTACTGTAGTAGGAATATTAACAAAGCAATGGGTTACCCATTATGTGCTCCTAATGATAGAGTCGTGTTAAAGCTGCGAGTGAGAGTGGGTAAAGTGAAGAAGATTGATGGGCAGAGCCTGAACCTGAAGACCACGTGGCATCAGCAGGGATATGATACAGCCTGGTTGCCTGCCTCTGCCTCTGGTGGTGTGGGACTTGAGGAGGATTGTGTTTGGGACCCAAAGAGAATTACTGTGATTGGAATAGCCCATTGCACAGACTCCAGTACTAAGAGTTCTCTGGAGAGTCTCATAAAGCAGGAAAGCCAATCGCAGGACCCGAATGTTAAAGATCTGAAGCCATGTAAAGGGTGTGGAATGCAAACCGAGGATAAACACACAATGGAGAAATGCTGGTCCTGTAAGGTATCCATATGTCCCTTCATGAAAAATCATGTTTGCCAAAAGAAAGGGAAGTAATTATTCCTGAGTACTTGAGAACTAGTTAATTGATATTTATACTTTAATTGAATATAATCTGTGACGTGATGTTGAGATGTGGTAAAGGCACTGTAATTAACAAATTTAATGAAATTCTGCTAATCATATTACTAAAAGTAAAGACATTGCAGTGCATGTAAACCTTTGTTTTAATTGGTCCAGATTAATATGGTTAAATTCATTTTTACTCATCTACACATTAGAAACAGATTACTTGTTTGAAGTTGGAATTTATCATTGTAATATTTTTTCTCAATGTAATTTTTTGTAATATTTTTGTGTAATCTTTTAAGCCGTTAACTACTACATAACAATTAATATTTATTAAAATATATATTTTTGTCTTCTGTTCTGCAGTTGCAAATCTGCTCTAAATTTGTGACCATTTTGATTTACTGTTGATTTCTTGTATTGCAACAATTGTTATTTGAATCTGTGAAATTTAGCAATATATTAAACATGAAAATGTAGCATTTGTACTTTGTCTTAATTCCTCTTGAAGAGATTTCACAGATATTTTTAAATTTTAAATTTTATAATTTCATGTTAATATGTATAGAATTTTTCAAAATCTAACAGTCTGGCACATTGATTTCTGCTGTAAGACAATACTTGCTGTAAAAAAAAAGGAGAGTGAAGAGCTATGTTTCCATAAAAAACTGGGGGGAAAGTAAGCATATCTGGACTGAAATATTAATACCAGTACAAAATGGTAAACAAAGTAAAAAACATCAAAAATGTTTTACTATATTTCTCTTCCTGCTTGTCATTCTGTAACGTTTCCCACCCAGCAAGAAGTTTTGTTTACTTGTTTTTTACATGCAAAACATGGCGTCTCAAAGGAAGGAATGAATATGACTCTATACTAGAAAATAAGCTTTAGATCTCAGAAAAAAATGTGCCTTTGGTTTCAATAATTCCACATTTAAAACCAAAGATCTAATTTATGAACAACAATATGTTGTTTATGTTTTGAATACCAATGTGAAAGTTATTGTTTACAGATTCTCTATTCATGATGAAATACTCATTTATGATCTATTAATTTGTTTGTATTGCCTTTTGTATAAAACATGCACCTGCCCAGCTTCACCATTTACTGTATGACAAGGTGTTCCTATATATTTTGCATTCATCAACAAGATGAAAATGTATTGCGCAGATCAAGTTATTCATGTTATTCAAGACTGACAGGGTATGGGATGGTAAATGTCTCAAAGGAAGGAATGAATATGACTCTATACTAGAAAATAAGCTTTAGATCTCAGAAAAAATGTGCCTTTGGTTTCAATAATTCCACATTTAAAACCAAAGATCTAATTTATGAACAACAATATGTTGTTTATGTTTTGAATACCAATGTGAAAGTTATTGTTTACAGATTCTCTATTCATGATGAAATACTCATTTATGATCTATTAATTTGTTTGTATTGCCTTTTGTATAAAACATGCACCTGCCCAGCTTCACCATTTACTGTATGACAAGGTGTTCCTATATATTTTGCATTCATCAACAAGATGAAAATGTATTGCGCAGATCAAGTTATTCATGTTATTCAAGACTGACAGGGTATGGGATGGTAAATGATCAGCACCTTGTGTCATGGTGGAAACTGTTTGACAAATAGCTTATGTTGGCTTAAATTTTTCTGGGAATGAAATGGTCAAAACCTTCAGTTTTGGCGAGGATCAGTGTGCAATATATGTAAGTGTTATTGCTCACTGACTGACTGGCTAAATAAGATATTGAAAGTTAATGCCATGTTTTCTTGAAATACTGTCTTTGTTTTATTTTGCTGGTTTATGATACATATTTATAGTCATCTTATTTATTGTTATTCATTTATTAAATATAAACTAGTATAACATTTTCAAAAAAACATTATTTAAAGCATTAAATCAGAACTATTCATTTCAAACTTCAAAAAAAGCACACTTTAATAAAGCTCATGCCAGGCACCATGTGCTCCTTGTGTATTTTAGCGTATTTCATCAATGAAATTAATGGTGGAGCATCTGGACCCAAGTTATCTTCAGCCTAGATTTTTGCACCTGGACAAATCTAAAAAAAAAACTAATAGAAACTCAGAATTTTACCCATTCGCTCAACAAAAAAACTACTTAATGACAAATACACTTTAAGTGTATTAAAAAGAAATTCACTTACAGTTTTTCTCTGTCGATTTGACACTTTTCTCCAAATGTAATTGCTCTCAAAACAATTAACACAGTTATCTAAACAAAAACTTAAAAATTTAAAACTGCAAAATTAAGCACTAGGTTACTTTTTCTAGTAATGCATTTATTTAAAGTATATATTAACATCAAATCTAAAGGTGTGTTCTCTATTGATGTTTATTGCAAAGTTCAGCAGGGAGTTTTGCTTTATATATATTGTGTTAATCTAAATAAAATAAATATATATACATATACATGTGTGAGTGTGTGTGTGTTTGCTGTTGTATGTGAATTATGCTGAATTACTGTGAGATGCCTTTCATTTACATCTGGAAGAGAATTCCTTCTGCACTGCATTTTATCTACACTACATTCTTGCTGCACTTGCATCATGGACAATTGTGAGAAGGTTGTGAGAAGGTTAACATGTCCACAGGACTCTTCCTTTGTGACTGGTGGTGTTGTTCTGGACCATCATATCAACATGCTCTTGTTCCATTCAAAATAAACTTGATTGTCCACCTGAATGTTCTCAAACTTCAATTCTGATTTTTTTTTTGGACATTTGCATTGACGTTATCAGGAAGACTACAATTCTGCACTATCAACAATCATAGCACAATATTCATAAATATAGAAGTGTATTAATAAACTATTTAGATCTGTTTCCCAGCTTCTGTAAAGGAGAGGCTATGATTTCTTACATTGCCTATTTGGGTAACTCTAACTTCATTTGAAATGTGTCTGTACCTTCTACCTCTCGTTCCACCCTGTTGTCCACCTCTTCTCTGTCCATGTCCTCCTCTTGTTCTTTCCACTACACCAATGCCCTCCACTCTACTCATCTCTTTTCCCTCTCCTTCTCCTCTTCTCTTTTTTCTAACATCCTACTCTCTGCTCATCTATTTCTACTTGTTCCACTCTTCTTCTCTCTCATTAAACCCCTTTCTCTAGCCACTCCACAACATTTGAGACGCATACCTTTTTTTCATATTCTTTCTTGGTCTTTGTATATTCTCCCCATTGTAGCTAAAGCAATTGTGATAAATGTGTAAACAAATAGAACAATTATGTTTTCTGTGTTGTTTTATTAAGCGAGCGATTATTAGTTTGGGGCCAAAACTGAAAATATACCATGTGCATTTGATGATATGACAAATTACAGAGTTTTGTTTGTTGTATTTGGACAAATGGTATTCATAAATGTTTGTGATTTGTGTAAAACCAATAAAAGAAGCTACAATAGTTTTTGTTTTTTTTCAGATATTTTAAAGTATTGGTTGGTTGTTTTAAGTATTATGAAAACATTTGAGAGTTTTGTGCCAAGTGTTTTCAGTAAATTATTCGCATGATTTGTAATTTGTATGAAATGAATGAAAACTTACAATCTGTTTAGGACAATTACAAAGTCTTCAGATCACTGTGCAAACTGTTTTGAGAACATTGACCTGATTTTGGAGAAATGTGTCAAATCAATTGAGAAAAATGGTAACTTGTTATTATAAGATTTTTAAAAGTTGTATAAACCTAATAGCTAAAAAGCCCCAAATACATTCCACAAACCCAATGTGGTGTCTTACCTCTGACAGCGCTTCTAAAGCTGATTGCTTCCTTCTGAAAGCAGGTATGGCACATCTTTCAGGGTGTGTCCATGATGGCAGGTGTTCCACTGAGTTTCATCTTTGTATTGGAATTTTTTTTTTTTTAAAGAATATGTAATTAGAATATTGTACAATTATAAGATTGATTAAAAGACTGTTTGGTAGAACTGTTATCTTTTGGTTTTCTCCAGCATCCAAAAGCAAACAACTCTAAACTATAATTCTCCCAAAGCTCATAAGATAAGTCTGAAGTAAACAGGGCATGATATGACCTTTGTCAAACTGTTATAAAGAAAGCAGGAACTGCATTCATCTCTCTATTTTAACTTTATAAAATACTTGGAATGATAATTGACTTGATCTGCTCAGTTAAACATACTTTATTGATATTGAAATTAAAACAATCTTTTTCTTTTTAAAACAAAGTTCAAATGTAAATGTACGTTTCATTTTGGCTGTAGAAGACCGTTTTCCTGTAAATGCCCCACCTATTCAGAAACTATTTACATGGCTATAACAGCAGATGTCTGAACAGTGCAGGTTAACAAACAAATACAGCTGATCTGATGTGCTGATCAACACATGTCAAAATGTATAGTGCAGATCAAGTTATTCATGTTATTCAAGACTGACAGGGTATGGGATGGTAAATGCTCAGCACCTGGTATCACGGTGGAAATTGTTTGACAAATAGGTTATGTTGGCTTTAATTTTTTGGGAATGAAATGGTCAAAGCCTTCAGTTTTGGAGAGGATCAGTGTGCAATATATGTCAGTGCTATCATTTACTGTCTAAGAAGCAAAGGCAAGTTTAATTTTATGTATTTTTTAGAAGTAAATGCATGCCTTCTACTCACTGACTGACTGGCTAAATAAGATATTGAAAGTTAATGCCATGTTCTCTTGAAATATTGTCTTTGCCTTCTACTGGTTCTATGTAACTCTGGAGGCATGCTGGAGCACCTCCACCCAAGTCGTCTTCAGCTCACATGTTTGCACCTGGACCATTTAAATAAAAAAATTAATAAAAACTCAGAATTTTTATCATTAGCAAACTGACTTACAAAAAAAGACATAATGAGAAACAAAATAGCATTAAAAGTAATGTATATTATGATATATTAATAGGGTTTACAAACACTATGACCAACAAAAGCACAACATTTCCACAAAGACGAAGTGGTGTCTTACCTCTGATGTTGCTTCTAAAGCTGATTGCTTCCTGCCGTATCAGGGTGTGTCCATGATGAAAGGTGTTCCATTGAGTTTTTACGGTTTCGTTATGAAGAAAGTTCTAGTGTAATTTCAGTTTCATTTTTGCTGTTGAGGACTGTTTGCCCCACCTAATAAAAACTACTTATGCAGCTATGACGGAAAAGCTGACAGCTCAGGATAACAAGCAATATAATTGAACTGATATGCTCAAACAGATAAGATCAACACCTGACTTACATTTACACAACTTATGTATATATTTACTTTTCTTTTTACTTTTACTTTTCATTCAATTTTTATATAATAACCAGCACCAAAACATAAATAAATAAACAATAAGTTGTATATCAATTATACCTATTTATTTATATATATATATATATATATATACATATATATATATATATATATATAATTATATTTTTTTTGGGAAGAAATACCAGGGGTAAAATTATGCCCTTATAAAAGAAATGTTTATTGTATAATGAAATATAAAAATCATTATTAACTTTGTAGAACCTTTTTTTTTTTATCTTACTGCTTTGCATTTTTGTGCCCAGAATATAAATATTTGTACGTTAATAGAATATACATGAGGTATAAAGATAAACGGTGTTATGGTGGTATATGGGTGGAGTTCCCCCCCCCCAGCTCATATCAGGAAGCTCTATGGCCTTCAACTCACTTAGATGTTTTTTGTATTTCAATTGTTACACCAAACATAATGAAATGTTTAAAATCCTAAAAGAACAACAACAAACAACAAAAGAACAACAAAAAAAAGACCCATGAAAGGTATGTATAAAGGTAAGTTCCTTAAATTGAAAAAGGATTGTACGTTTATTTGCAAAGATATTTCAAATATATTCTTTAAAAATGTTATAAATGTTATGTGTATGTAATAAATGGTATGTTCAATGATCATGAACAACACCAGGAGTCAACACTGAGTAAAACTAACAAGAGGCAGCTTTAAGAATGAAGTGCATATGGGGTCAGAGAATACAGCAATGTGACACAGATTACCATAAAATGTATTGAACCTGAATACATTTAGTATTAATATTACAGTGATGTACAGTGATCTACAAAGAAATATGTTTAGGCACAGAAATTATTATTATTGTTATTTTATGTTAGTTTTGTTAGTATCATTTGTATCAAAGAAATATATTGGTTTAATCTACTCAACATTTTCATAGGATTCTACAAGAACTTTGCTCCTCTTGCATTGGACTAATTAAATCAATGACAGTGATTCGTCTTGGATCCCAAACACAGTCTTCTTCAAGACCACTTGGCACCATGCCACAGTTTGGAGGACACCAGGCAGTGTCATACCCGTGATCATGCCAGGTTTTCTGCAGTGGATGACGTTGACAGTCAATCTTCTTCACTCTCCCAACATTGACTTTTACTCTCACAATCACTCTCTGGTTCTCAGGTAGATCCAGAGGGTATCTGGAGGCCTTCTGTAGATCTCGACTGAGGTAGACACCAGGTCCAAGCATGCCAGCAGAAGACTGCTTGAAGCCAGAGACTTTGATTTTTTCAGCATTCTCCCTTGATGTGCCATGATACATTCTGTAGACTTTACATTCTACTGGTTCTATGTAACTCTCAAGGCATGCTGGAGCACCTCCACCCAAGTCGTCTTCAGCCCACATGTTTGCACCTGGACCATTTAAATAAAAAAATGAATAGAAACTCAGAATTTTTATCACTAGCAAACTGACTTACAAAGAAAGACATAATGAGAAACAAAATAGCATTAAAAGTAATTTATATTATGATATATTAATAGTCTTTACAAACACTATGACCAACAAAAGCACAGCATTTCCACAAAGACGAAGTGGTGTCTTACCTCTGATGTTGCTTCTAAAGCTGATTGCTTCCTGCTGAAAGCAGGTATATATAGCACATCTTTCAGGGTGTGTCCATGATGAAAGGTGTTCCATTGAGTTCTTACGGTTTCGTTATGAAGAAAGTTCTAGTGTAATTTCAGTTTCATTTTTTGCTGTTGAGGACTGTTTGCCCCACCTAATAAAAACAAGCAATATAATTTAACTGATATGCTCAAACAGATAAGATCAACACCTGACTTACATTTACACAACTTATGTATACATTTACTTTTCTTTTCATTCAATTTTTATATAATAACCAGCACCAAAACATAAATAAATAAACAATAAGTTGTACATCAATTATACCTATATATATATATTGGAAGAAATGCCAGGGGTAAAATGATGTCCTTATAAAAGAAATGTTTATTGTATAATGAAATATAAAAATAATTATTAACTTTGTAGAACTTTTTTATTTTTATCTTACTGCTTTGCATTTTTGTGCCCAGAATATAAATATTTGCACGTTAATAGAATATACATGAGGTATAAAGATAAATGGTGTTATGGTGGTATATGGGTGGAGTTATAAACAGTTTTTCCCCCCAGTTCATATCAGGAAGCTCTATGGCCTTCAACTCACTTAGATGTTTTTTGTATTTCAATTGTTACACCAAACATAATGAAATGTTTAAAATCCTAAAAGAACAACAAAAACAACAAAAAAAGACCCATGAAAGGTATGTATAAAGGTAAGTTCCTTATATTGAAAAAGGATTGTATGTTTATTTGCAAAGATATTTAAAATATATTCTTTACAAATTTTATAAATGTTAAATGTTATGTTCATTGATCATGAACAACACAAGGAGTCAACACTGAGTAAAACTAACAAGAGGCAGCTTTAAGAATGAAGTGCATATGGGGTCAGCGAATACAGCAATGTGACACAGATTACCATAAATTTATTGAACCTGAATATATTTAGTATACATATTACAGTGATGTACAGTGATCTAGAATGAAATATGTTTAGGCACAGAAATTATTATTATTGTTATTTTATGTTAGTATCATTTGGATATTTGGAGGCCTGAGGTAAGCATGTCTGAGCATGCCACAAGAAGACAGATGAAATCTTTTCTAAATTTATTTGCAGCTTTCATGTAAATGGACCACAAAAACAGTAAGCATCAAACTTGAAATAAATACAATTAAACCGAAATGTAACTGTAGTTGACATAATATTATCTATAATGTAATATCTTTTCTGGTTCATTATTTTGAAAGGTCTATGAAAATATTCCTAATAATCAGAGATTAGCATTTATAAAGTATGCTTGTATGCTGCTTTTACCTTTCCAAGGACAAATACAGACTGAATTTAAATGAAAGAATGTTTATGTGATGTTGATCCTGAGGAAATTCCTAGTCAAGCCTGATTTTGATTGCAATGGAAATCACCAGACTTTTAGCCATGAAAACATTTAAACAGTCTTAGAAAACTAGAAGTTTTAATAGTTAAAAATGAACAGTTGTTTTGGCTATATACACTGAATGATATGTGGGGACAAATGCTGGTACAAAAATGGTAATCTAAAATTGTTTTTCATGTTGTAGCAAACATATAAATTGAGTGATTTTATTCAAGTCAAAATTATTGTAGTGTTTCAAAAAAACACTAGGTCTCAGAAATGTCGCACACTGCAAAAAATTATTTCTTACTCAGCATTTTTGACTTGTCCAGTTATCTAAATGTTCTAAAATCAAGATGCATTTATTGAGAAGGAAAATTAGTTAAGATATTAAGTCTTGTTTTTGGAAATTTTGCTCAAAATTAAGTTATCTTATGCTTGAAGCAATAAAAATATCTACCAATGGGGTAAGAAAAATAATCTTATTTCCCTTTGAATTAAGTTTATTATTATTATTTTTTTTACCTCACTGGCAGATCTATTTTTTTTCTTGTTTTAAGCAGAAACTCCCTTAAATTTTGATCAAATTCTCAGAAAACTATACTTAATATCTTAGATCATTGTGCTTCTCAAGTAAAAATGTCTTGATTTAACAATGTTTAGATATTTGTAGTGGAAACAATATTGTTAAAAATGACTGAAGCACAGTCTAGGACAATAACAAAATTGCTAGTACAATAATGAATTTTTTTTTATCTGTAATGTAACTGAAAGATGACTGAAAAATTTATATAATGTAACAATCATATTCACATCAATATTCATTAACATGTCCATCTTTAGCATCAGAACATTACACAAAGCAACCATCATTTCACAGCACACTTTGAATTCAACAGCTTCTTGTATACTTGGACAAAACAGTCTACAAAACTGAAAGAAAAGTTTATATAGCAAAGAAATATATTGGTTTAATCTACTCAACATTTTCATAGGATTCTACAAGAACTTTGCTCCTCTTGCATTGGACTAATTAAATCAATGACAGTGATTCGTCTTGGATCCCAAACACAGTCTTCTTCAAGACCACTTGGCACCATGCCACAGTTTGGAGGACACCAGGCAGTGTCTTTTGCCTTTTTTGCCTCAAACATTGACTTTTACTCTCACAATCACTCTCTGATACTCAGATAGATGTAAAGGGTATCTGGAGGCCTTCTGTAGATCTCGGCTGAGGTAGACACCAGGTCCAAGCATGCCACCAGAGGACTGCTGAAAACCCTCTGTAAAAAAATTTAGCGCAGCCTCTATGGATGTGCCATGATACATTATATAGATTTTGCCTTCTTCTGGAGCTGTATAACTCTGGAGGCATGCTGGAGCACCTGGGTCCAAGTCATCCTCTGCCCACATGCTTGCACCTGAACCACAAATAATCTTAGTATACGTAAGATATTAGTGAAAACAAAAATGGGAGATAAAATGATCAAATGTGGGACATGTCTAAATAAATATATAGAAAAGTATATATTAAAATATATATTTGATTGAATAGAGGGTTTATAATCAAGCACCATATATATTTTGACAAAAAGTGACTTACCGCTAATCGTTGCTTCTAACACCGAATGCAGATCCTCTGAAACCAGATTTATGAACCGCAGGCTTATTCTGGGTGTGTCCACAACGGAAAAAATACTTGAGGGAAAGAATAAGCTTTCACTTTCTCCTTATCTCAGTAAGCTCTAATATATGTATGATTACATTTATATATGGACTTTATTACTGTAAATTCTATACGATTTGGTAATTCCATTTAATCATTTGGTGTTATGAAATTAATCATTTTAATCAAAGAAACAACACAAAAGTGTGTTGTTTCTTTGTATTCTTCAAAAGCAAAGAGACCCATACTATGATTATCCAATCCCAATATATTGATAAGTCTGAAGTAAACAGGGTGTGATTTCTGTCCCTTTTAGAGGTTTAATGATTTTTATCAAACTGAAATCAAATCAAGCAGAAACTGCACTGATTTATATGAACATTTTTTTTGGTATCTCTGCACAATAGGAAATATTATATTAGAATAAATAGAATAATTATTTATTTTATACTATGTTTATAAAGCCATAAGCTTTCATTTTTTCTGCTTCTTCTTTAGATGTACCATAAAACATTGTGTAGTCTTTACCTTCAACTGGATTTTCCCTGCTTTGAAGGCTTGGTGGAATTATATCAATAATAGTGATTCGATTCGGATCCCAAACACAGTCTTCTTCAAGACCGCTGGTCACCATGCCACAGTTTGGAGGGCACCAGGCAGTGTCGTACCCGTGATCATGCCAGGTATTCTGCAGTGGATGACGTTTATGGTCAATCTTCTTCACTCTCCCAACATTGACCTTCACTCTGATAACAACTCTCTCACGCGGCTTGTCAAGTGGGTATCTGCTGGCCTTGTTAAGATCTCGGCTGAGGTAGACGCCACGTCCCAGCATGCCATCTGCAGATGGCTGAAAGCCAGAGATTTTGATCTGTTGTGCTGCTCTTTCAGTGGTGCCGTGATACATTCGGTATACATTACCATTCACAGGCTCTGTAGTGCTTTGAAGACACAGCACACCTGGATACAAGTCACTCTCTGCCCACATGTTTAAACCTAAAGACAAAAATATAACAAATCTACAAACTGTTTTCATGCTCAAGTTTGGTTATAGAGCAGCAGAAAAAAGGAGGGAAGTCAGTACAAAGGAATACTGTACATTTGGTAGAATATGAGAACGTTTGTTTAAATAATCACAAATAGTCGGATATGTTACTTACTTCTGCGATGACAAATTCAGTCTGATTCAGTCTAATCTTGGACACACCTTTAACCAATGAACTGAAGCCTATGACACAGCAGTAAATGTTTTATGAGGCCATAAAGAAAAATTGCAATCACCTGAAGCAGCAAGAGTGAGTAAAGTGTACTGTAGTTTTTGTTGTTTCTCTGATTACATATCTACACTTAATTTGACGCAGCAATTTTATTCTATGTAAGCACTAACATTTATATATGTGTCGTATGAGTAAATTAAAATATATTGGTATTGTACTTGTATTGGAGGCACAACTAAAAATAAGTTTAATTTCTCTGCCAGCCCACAGCATTCCTGCAAAGAGTGTGTCAGCTTTATCAGATGCACTTAAGTGGGAGTTCAAAAGTTTTTAGATGTGCCGGTTATCATTAAATTCCTAATTATAAAGTATGAACCCATGTCATTGATTATAAAATGACTAAAGAAGGGACAAAACAGTTAGACAGTGTTTTATTTAAATAATTGATACAATAAATATGTACATATAACTTTTTGTACATAAAAGTTATAATAAATAATACATTTTATATTCATGCAAAAGTAACAAATCAGAAAAGAGTTTAAAAAATCGACTACCAAGTTCATCCAATGCAGAAAACCTGGCATGATCACATGTACGATACTTCCTGGTGCCTTCCAAACTGTGAAATGGTGTGAAGTGGCCTTGAGGAAGACTGTGTTTTGGATCCCCGTTGGATTTAGATCATTGATATAATTTATGCCAAATGTGCAGTGTGGTTATTATTATAAAACAAATTGTGGACGCACTGCTTTTTTATTATTTTTAAGAATAAAGGATTTCTTGCAGCTGCAATCGGATCAGCCCGATTCGCGAATTAATTGTTTAGTGCGATTTGGAAACTGATTTATCAGGTTCATTGAAAATTAATCAGTTTGTTCATGAATCGGACACCGTTTTTGGGTCTCAGAGCACGTGATGATTTCTTCATTTCAAAATAAAGAGTAACGATATGTTTTACAAAATGTAGTGGAGTAAAGTAAAAGTTACTCAAAATAAAAATGGATCCCTGAGGAACCCCACATGATAAAAAAAGAATCGCTAGAAAAATGCTCTGCAATGTTAAAGGGGTCATATGATGCGATTTAAATTTTTCCTTTCTCTTTGGAGTGTTACAAGCTCTTGGTGCATAAAGAAGATCTTTAAAGTAGCAAAGACTAAAGTCTCAAATCCAAAGAGATATTCTTTATAAAAGTTAAGAGTCAGCCACGCCTACCTAAAACGGCTCATTCTAACACGCCCCCACATATCTACGTCACTATGTGGAAATATTAGCATAATGCCGCCCAAATGTGCACGCAAAGAAAGAAGGCGTGGTTTCAGGAACAGCAGTAGTGTTGATGCATTAGTGTTTATTGACCTTATTATCGTCTCGTCATCATCTTGTCTTCGTCTCGTCATGTTAGTCATGGCCAAAAACCTCGTCAACGAACATTTTTCGTCATCGTCTTGTTCGTTAACTAAATTAACGCCAGAACCAGAGGACGGTAACATCTACATAATGTAGCCTATCATGGCACATCCAAGGAGAATGCTGAAAAAAGTCTCTGGCTTCAAGCGGTCTTCTGAAAAACGCATGCTTGGACGTGGTGTCTGCCTCAGCCGAGATCTAGAGAAGGCTTCCAGATATCCTCTGGTCTGGATCTACCTGAGAACGAGAGAGTGGTTCTGAGAGCAAAGGTCAATGTTGGGAGAGTAAAGAAGATTGACCGTCAACTTCATCCAATGCAGAAAATCTGGCATGATCACGGGTATGACACTGCATGGTGTCCTCCAAAATGTGGCATGGTGCCAAGTGGTCTTGAAGAAAACTGTGTTTGGGATCCAAAACGTATCACAGATTTAATTTATCCAGTGAAGGAGGAGCAAAGTGCTTATAGAATCTTCTGAAGGTGTTGAACAGGTTAAACCAGTAAAACTCTTTGAAACTTACATTTTTTTATGGCTCCAATGTTTTATCCCAGTACGCAATAGTGTGTTGAATACAAAGTGTGCATTCAGGATCAAAACACATAATTGTACATACAAATTTGTGCATTATACAATGAAGTTTACTTGGTTACTGGGAAAAGTTGAAGTGTACTTGGAATAAACCAGAAAAAACGATAGATTTATTCTGTTACATAAACACTTTTATTGTACTATATGCATGTGATTGAAATGAAGAAATAACATAAAATAAATGACAGATGAAAAATGAACCCTAAAAATGAGTAAAATAACATGTTAAGATTCTATAGGTTTTCTGAAGCTCTCCCTGGCACACCACCAGGAGTCTCAATCTCCACTGGGTCTCCATGCGGAGGTCTTAGACAGGGATCGTTTTTTTCCACCGGCACTCTCCGGAACCAGAACGAGAGTGGATTATTCCCTTGATTCCTGCAGCAGCTCCATTCTCTGGTTCTTGCTCTTCACGCTTTCACCGAACCTAGTCCCTACAGTGTTAACCAATTTGAGACCTACCGGTATTTAAAATGTGTCTTTTATCACTAAGATTCTGGAGAAAATTGTCTTACAGCAGTTGCAGGGTTTTCTAGCTGATAACATGATTTTTGAACATTTTCAATCTGGTTTTAAAAAATATTAATACTAGTAAGACTGCACTGTTGAAAGTTTTAAATTATGTTTTAGTAACCTGTGATTCTGGCAAATTATGCTGTGGCTTGTTCTCTTAGATTTGACTGCTGCATTTGATACAGTGGATCATGATGACTATGACTATATCAACATGCAATTTCGTTGACGAAATAAGACGAGACTAAAATGTATTCAAAAAATAAAAACTTTACCAAAAACCTATTTTTATTTTCGTCAAAAAAGGAGACAAATGTTATTGCATACTGCTCTACAGTACACGCATCTAGAGCGTTCATGTGTGCGGTTACCAGATATCAAGAGTTCAAAATCAGAACTTCACTGTTACATGGATACATTTTATTCCCGGTGTTTTGCTTATTTTAAGCAATCTGGCAACCATTCGCACGCGCTCACTAAACTTGAAGTATACTACTTTTTGGTAAGGGTAGTAGAAACGTAAACATTATTAACTTTCTAACGTTTCTAATACATATTTATATATCTTACAGTCTAGCAAGTTTCTGGATATCCATTTAGCATTTTATTTTGTATTTAAAGTATCAAATATTTAAAAAAACAACAACACAAAGGTATATGCATGAAGTATGTTGTTTATTTGTAGCTAGATTTAAGTTCAGGGTATACTAAAATTAAATCACCATTTCAAAGCATGTATGGTAATTTGTATTCAACAGCTGGAAACACTTTCAGAAAACATTTCAGAAGAACTAATTTCTTAAGCATACTTCATTACAGCATTGCTAGAGCATACTTCATTAACTCTCATTGCTTTGGGTGCATTTCACCAATGACAGTGATTCGCCTTGGATCCCAGACACAGTCTTCTTCAAGACCACTTGACACCATGCCACAGTTTGGAGGGCACCAGGCAGTGTCGTACCCGTAATTATGCCAGGTTTTCTGCATTGGATGACCTTGAGAGTCAATCTTCTTTACTCTCCCAACATTGACCTTCACTCTCAAAACCACTCTCTGGTTCTCAGGTAGATGCAGAGGGTATCTGGAGGCCTTCTGTAGATCTCGGCTGAGGTAGACACCAGGTCCAAACATGCCATCAGAAGACTGACGAAAACCCTCCCGTTTAATATTTTCAGCAGCTCCCCTGGATGTGCCATGATACATTCTGTAGACTTGACCATCAGCTGGTTCTCTGTAACTCTCAAGACATGGCAGAGCTTCTGGACCCAAGTCGTCTTCAGCCCACATGTTTGGAAAAATTACATCAATGACAGTGATTCGTCTTGGATCCCAAACACAGTCTTCTTCAAGACCACTTGACACCATGCCACAGTTTGGAGGGCACCAGGCAGTGTCGTACCCTTGATCGTGCCAGGTTTTCTGCATTGGATGACCTTGATAATCAATCTTCTTCACTCTCCCAACATTGACCTTTACTCTCACAATCACTCTCTGATTCTCAGGTAGATTTAAAGGATATCTGGAGGCCTTCTGTAGATCTCGGCTGAGGTAGACACCAGGCCCAAACATGCCATCAGAAGACTGACGAAAACCCTCCCATTTAATTCTTGCAGCAGCCTCCCTGGATGTGCCATGATACATTATATAGATGTTACTGTCTGCTGGTTCTCTGTAACTCTCAAGGCATGGTGGAGCACCTGGACCCAAGTTATCTTCAGCCCACATGTTTGCACCTGGACAAATCAAATCGAAAAATGAATAGAAATTAATAGAAAAACATTACAATTAGGAATTTTACTAAAGTTTACTAGCAAACTGACAAATGGAATTAAGAAATACAGTAGTTTATATTTATAGTATAAAATAATATCACTATGGAATTTTTTAGTAAATTAGTAAAAACCAATAAAGCACAGCATTTTCACAAAGACAAAGTGGTGCCTTACCTCTGATGTCGCTTCTAAAGCTGATTGCTTCTTTCTGAAAGCAGGTATATAAATGGTTCATATTTCAGGGTGTGTCCATGTCTAAAGGTGTTCCATTGAGTTTCAATTTCTATTCATCTATTACTGATTGTGAGAACAATTTATGCTCAGAATTTGTAAAGCATAGTGCTGTAAAGTGTATTGATTATTTGATTTTAAGTTTATGAAATTAAAAGACTATACAATTATAAAACTGATTAGAAGACTTTTTGGTAAAATCGTTTTGTCTTTTTGTTTATTCCAACATCCAATAGCAGAGAGACTCTAATACAAAATATTGATAAATATACAGTAAACAGGGTATGATGAAACCTTTGTCAAACTTTCATAAAGTCAAGCATTAACTTTATAAAATATGTGAACTTCCAAGTGATATGATATGAATATTTCGAATTAACTCACAATGCAACAGCGCAATGAAAATAAGAACTCCAGTATACACCCTTTTCCTTTAAATCCAAGTTTCAGTGTCATTTAAGTTTTGTTTCTGATTTAGAGGACTGTTTCCCTGGAAATTCATAACTCAATCAGTAACATTTACACAGCTGTGACAGAATATGTTTGAACATGGCAGGATAAAGAACAATAAATACAACTAACCTGATAAGATTCAAACAGATAAGATCAATGAAATTGATCACATGAATTAATTAATTTATTTTTATTTACAGTAAAAGCATACAAGCTTGCATAAATAAATAAATATATAAATACTATGTTCAGACTGTGTCTTAAGAACAAGTTTTTCAACAGTCTCTGATGTTGCTTTTAACACTGAACATAGACTACCTGGAAAAGATTTATGAACAGCAAGCTTGTATAGGAAGTATTGACAACAAAAGAGATTCTACTTTTTTTCTCTTTATCTTGACAAAATGCGATGAAAAGATTACAAAAGATTACAAATGTATGGATTTTGTAAAGGATAGTGCTGTAAAGTCTGTGGGATCATTTGAGCATGTTGCTTCTTTGCTTTCTCTAACCCCCAAAAGCAAAGAGACTAGTACTATGATTCTCCAAGTCCATAAACAAAACATTTAAATGAAAAGTATCAATATTTCCCCTCCAGTTTGTTTGTTTGTTTTAATCAAATGTATTTTTGCTGTGTTGGAGTCTGAAATGTCACAGTGAGCAGAACAACACAGTCTCCAGATTCCAGACCTAATTATCAGATATTTTTCAAGAGTTTTCATCTTTAAGCACGTAGCAGAGGGTCTTTTATGATGGATCACAAGTGAAAAAAATGTGTAATGGGTCATCTGTATTTCAGTTCTGTTTTGAGTTGGACTGAATTTTGCACTGTTTCCTGTGATAGTTCATATTTCCTTTTCCGTTCATTCATTGCCATGGTTTTTGATTTGCCCTCATGTTACATCAAAAATAATTTCAATCTCAGCCCATGCATCCCTGTAAATGCTTAGTCTGTCTACAGATAATCACACCCTCTAATGATAAAGATTTGTGAATAAGCCAATAAATACAAAGCTTCTGATCATTATGTAGCAGCTTTCCACTAAGCCGCTGGTATTGGTAATAGGAGTGAGCGAGTATTTGACGCGTAAAAATGTCCATGCAAAACAGATGTAAAATGCAAACAGTGTCTTTCTTTACTGTGCTCCAATGAATAAACATTGCTTCCAGTTAGCTTCCTGTGGTGTCATTGTCTAGTTCACAGAATACAAATATCAATTCCATACCTCATACTATTCAACTCAGTCCAACACATAATAAAAATAAGCATGATCAGCATGATGAAGCATGATCCTGAACTGGCAACAACTGTGTGTTTCCCTACTACCATTACACAACTGTTGTCTTATTACCCAATTGCCCTAATATACCATGCCACCCAATGGACAAATATGAAATTGCATTAAAATGGCTCCTACATACTGTACAGTGTGACAGAGGATATGTGATCATAACAAGTTTAATACACAAAACCAGTGATGACAGACTATTTTTCTTTGAAGAATTAAAAACACTTTGGCTACATAGTCCTGTAATTTCTTCCTGTAAGTTCTATGTTAGTATTTCAATTAGAATCAGTAACAAAAAGAACAGACAGGGTAAAACAACCTCTAAAAATGGGTAGATCATTTCAATGACCAGAATCCGTTGTGGATCCCAAACACAGTCTTCTTCAAGGCCACCCGGCACCATGCCACATTTTGGAGGGCACCAGGCAGTGTCGTACCCGTGATCATGCCAGATATTCTGGAGTGGATGACCTTGTTTGTCAATCTTCTTCACTCTCCCAACATTGACCTTGACTTTCAGAACCACTCTCTGGTATGCTTGCAGATTTAGAGGATACCTACGGGCCTTCTCTAGATCTCGGCTGAGGTAAACACCACGTCCAAGCATGCCAGCAACAGACTGATGAAAACCCTCTTTTCTAATTTTCTTTGCAGCCTCCATGGATGTGCCATGGTACATTGTGTAGACTTGACCTGATACTGGATTTGTGTTGCCTTGGAGGAAAGTTGAATCATTTCCACCCCACATGATTTGCACCTGGACAAATCACAAATAGGCCTTTTGTCTGTATCTTTAAAATATGCACGTAAACAATAAACATAATACGAAGATTTATACTATCACAAGTTTAATAAAAACAAAATTACCAAAAATAATTTTATATTTACATAATGTTATCTCTGCTTATAATCTGTTTTATATAGAGAAATTTCACTTACCAACCCTCAAATTCAAACAAGCTATTTACGTGATATTTGTTCTTGGGAAATGCCTACAGTATATCCTTTAAATTACACAGATCTTCAACAAACTTTTAGCCCCTAGACCAGTTAAAACATTACAATATTGCCTTAAACAGTGTAGCCGAGGGCGTACATACGAATACGTCGAGCTGTCATTTGACCAGGCATATTTCAAATTATAGCACTTATTGAAAGTAAAAAATAAAGCATAAAGGGACTCTCTTTAAGCGCACGGGTTGCTCTCTCTCTTTTACTTTCACTTTCTTAGATAATCGCCATTGGCCCTCCACACTGTCAATCATCATTATAAAGAGACGTCACCACACCGCCGCAGCCAATCAGTCCAAAACCAAGTACAACTAGCAAGGTACTAGTTGCAGTATTCATTGGCGGTGTGCTTCTGAACTGAGATGGCAAATTGTTTTTCAGTCCAATATGAATTCATTGATTTTAGAATTATTTATAACCCCCCCCCCACACACACACACACACACATTTTCCAGGTAAAGACAAAAGGAACAGAATTTACCTTACTCTTTTGACAAGACAACAGCTATTACACAAGCTATTTTCTTATTTATTTTCTTTATTTTTATTTATATAGTAACATATGTTTTACCAAAACAATTTTGCATTAATATTTCTTTTTACATTGCTTCAAAACTATTTCATTATTTTATTTCTCCAGTGTTGTAAGAAATAGTCAGCAGAGCACACTGTAATGATTGAATTCTCAATAAAACATCAGATTTTAGGATAAAATATATGTTAGGATTTTCATTGCTCATAACAAACCACAAAAGCCTACTCCTTAATTTGGATGAATTACATCAATGACTGTAATTTGTTTCCAAACACATTCTTGCTCAAGACCACTTGCCACGATGGCACTTTGTGGGGGATTCAGGCACCTTGATAATCAATCACTTATCCAACATTAACCTTCACTCTCAGAACATTTGGACAGACTTCTTGAATGTGCACAACTCATGTTCTCCAAATAAGTTTTATTTCTTGGCCAGCCCACATCATTCCTGTAAAGAGTAGGTCAACATTATCAGTCTTCAGAGACTTGAAGGTTTGTAGGCATGCCAGTTACCATGAAGTTCCTGATTACAAAGTATAAACTATGAATGGTGAAATGACTCAAGTGTGGACATAACAGCTATAAGGCGATTTTTATTTAAAGTCAAATCCAACAAAATGCAAAGAAGTCTAATAAGACTAAGGCTAAAAAAGACTGCAGAGACTGACAAAACGATACAAATAAGCAGGCATAAATCTTAATCCAACCAGCCAAAAATAAATTGGGATGTGGGAACTTCCAAATAAAACTCTGGAAAGAAATGGCCGAAGAACTATATCCATGCTGGTAACTAATATCACTTCAGTAGTCTTTCATTTCATAATGAGAAACACAAGAAGACATTTTAGATTTTAGTTTAGTAACATTATTATTTAAATTTCTTTTAACATTATGTAAATCATTCCGACATGAATATAAACATAATTATTTTTGTACATAAACAGAGCTAAAAAGGATTAAAGCGTGTTAAGATCTAAGTTAGCTGGAATGTGAAGATGTTTTATAACCTTGAGGAGAATCACACACAGAGACACAACTTTGTAAATATATGGGAGGTGAGACAGATCTGTGGCACAAAAAGTAACAAATCAGAGAAGTTGGCAGATGTGTGGAAAGACCTTGTTTGAATGACACAAATATTTTAAGATGTTGTTTTGAGAGTTCTCCTCTGGCCTAAACACTTTCTTCTGATGGTAAGACAAGTCCTGGGACTTACTTGTGTTGTCTTTATTAAGAAAATTCCTAGACAACCCCAAATATAGTTCCTGATTCATCAATAGGGCGGAATACATGCTTTTATTTTATTTGTTTTATTTTATTACAAATATTGTGCATACAACATCTCTCAAATGTGTGTTAAGTGTGTTAAGAGTAGACATGTGGCAGTCAGTGTCTCAAAATGAGGTGCTGAATTTGGCTATTAGTTATGGACCAAAGTTCTTTCATGCTTTGAATAAAATGCACAGTTTATCTTTTGCATTAGATTATTTTTTCGAAACATTTGAACTGTATCAACTAAATAATATTTCCCAGTAATTTCTTACAGTTTTATAACAACCTTGATTTTAGTCTTGATTTTCAACACAAGCATGCAAAGACAATGTGCAAGTGTTAAAAAAAATTATATATATATATATATATATATATATATATATAGTATATATATATAACTTCATCAATGCAGAGATTAAATCGACAAAAAATTTTATTCTTTAAAAACATGAAAAAGAACCAGCACATTTGTAATTTCATGCATTTTTTAATAATAATAGCCACACAGCACTTTTGGGTAAATGACATCAATGATCTGAATCCGGCGTGGATCCCAAACACAATCTTCTTCCAGGCCGCTTGGCACCATGCCGCAGTTTGGAGGGCACCAGGCAGTGTCGTACCCGTGGTCATGCCAGGTTTTCTGCATTGGATGACCTTGGTAGTCGATTTTTTTTACTCTTCCAACATTAACCTGCACTCTAATAACAACTCTTTCATGTTCAGGTAGATTAAGTGGGTATCTGCTGGCCTTATTAAGATCTCTGCTGAGGTAGACGCCTTGTCCAAGCATGCCATTTGCAGATGGCCAAAAGCCACAGGCCATAATCTGCTGTGCAGTATATCGAGAAGTCCCATGATACATTAGGTATATTTTACCATTCACAGGCTCCGTGTAGCTTTGGAGACACGGCACACCTGGATACAAATCATCCTCTGCCCACATGCTGAAATCTAGATAAAGCGAACAAAACTGTTCATCCGCTGTTGTATAAAGAGGTGCTGGTGAAGGTAAAGAGGTCTGTCAATAGCTTTTAGTGTAAAAGTTTAGAGAAATATGATGCTTACCTCTTGGATGACAAATTCAGACTGTGCAAACAGCTGCTTAAGAAGTGGGGAATATCTTGAAGCCACTCCTTCGACAAGATGGAAACCCCCAAACCTTAAGTTTAGTTTCTTTCGGAAAAAACAGTCTTATACAACCAGAAACAGCTTTTACAGCTGACAGAGAGCAGCAGAATGTGTTCATTTCAAAATGAAAATCTTGATGAAGATTTCACAGTTTAGAGTTTATTTGTACCCCTCACTGTCATCAACTTATTGACATCTTTAAAATCGCTTTGGCATTATTACAGTTGTACAGTTAACTAAAATAGCTTTACAGTTGTAACATTAACAGATTTTTTATTTATTTAACAGAGCATACAAGTTTGTGTTGTGTAAATAAGTTTTGAAACACAGTAATAATCAGCGGTCAATGATAAAATAATCACCAGTTGATTAGTAAATGTAATTGAAATTAATATAATAATATTTTTGAGTATGAAAATATGAAACAGAAAGTACAAAGCTATAAAAAGAAATGAGAGTAAGATTGTTTGTCTTTTCAATGAGATGCCGTGCAGCTGCAGATCAGAGGAAGTGATTCAGTCCAAAATACATTTCCTGGAAAATACCCTCTGCATGTGAAAACAGAGGCATATGCATCAGTGAAAAGGCTGTGACCTTGCAGTTAAACAACTATTGGAAATGTCGACAGAGTTTATTTCTTAGAGGAGACAGATATTCTTCACAACACACTTTAAACATGAATCATGAGCTGAACCTATTCAGAGATGAACATATTGATGTTTGGAACTATTCAAACATCTAATTTTAACAACAAATACTAATGGTACCTAAGTCAAATTATGGTCAGCAAAAAGGTATTCATTGGTTGGATTTATTGGAAATAGTTACCACGTGTGTGACATAAGTTCTTAAGTGCTCTCTTTTCTGCTCATCACCAGTCAAATAATTACATTTATTAATATTTAGGCTAAATGTATTATTAACTATATATTTATCATTAACCTATAATTGTCTGCTGATTCGTAATGCACAAAGTTGACACAATTAATGCAGAGAGCTGAGAATGTCACTTGGCATACTACAAAACAAAACATATTTTTGCAACTGGGCAAAAGAATACAACAATAACAAGCAAAAAGACAATAAACAAAATATTGTAAGAGGGTTATGATACATGAAATTCTGAAAGGAACTAAAGCATATTATATGTGTTACACCATTGAATAAACTTTGTTGAAACATCTTTGTTAAAAATAATAATAATTGCAAGTTTTAGTAGGCTAATAAAATCATTCTAAACATAGGCCTATAGGGTCAATTCTCAAAGAGTAACGAAAAAATGGCTTATACAGAAGTTTGGGAATCCTTTTTTTTACAAAATTAGAAAAGTCAACCCAAAACACTTTTGCAAAACACAATTCCAAAATAAGTGAGTAATTGTTTCTTTAAAATGACAAAAGCAGCAATTGGATGAAATACTTTCAATAAACTTTGTAAGATTAACAGTTATGAATAATCTTCAGTAATTTTCTTGGGCAGAAAATTTTTTTGTCGAAGAAGCCAGAGTTTTTTCTATTTTATCCATGATTGTTGGAGGCCCGGGAAAAAGCAGAAGAAAGATATACTAATAGTTATGAAATCAATGTTTTTATGAGAGATGGATCTAAAGACCCAATCAAACAAAAAGTGGGCATGGGAGTGTACATTCCAAGATTTAAGACAAGTTTAAGTGACAAATTGTCTGTATATTCTACAGAATTAACTGCTATAATAGTAGGATTGCAGTGGATAGAACAGATTAAGCCAAATAGGACTCCGACTGTAATTTGCTCAGATTCTTCATCAGCTCTTAAAAGTATATTGTCGACAAAAACTGATAGAGAAGACCTGCTAGTAGAAATGTATACATTACTGTACAGACTGAAAATAGAGGGTATAATCGTATACTTTTGTTGGGTAGCGGCACATATTGGGATAGTAGGGAATGAAACAGCGGATAAGTTAGCAAAAGAAGCTTTAAAGAAAAACTTGCTGGATGTTAAGGTACCTCTGGGAAGGAATGAGATAAAATCAGTAATTAATAGGGAAATAATAAGAATATGGCAACAAAGATGGGAAAATAGCAGCACAGGTAGGTGGTATTATAATATTGTAAAATCAGCAGGGGAAAAAATAACAGTTTAATGGAAGACACAGAAAGGAAGAAGTAATGATTTCTAGATTAAGGATGGGTCACACAGGACTAAATTAAAAACACTTGCATTAATGGGGAAGAATGAAAATGGTATGTGTGATGAATGTGATGTTTTTGAAACAGTAGAGCATGTGCTTTTTGAATGTAGTAAACATGATCAGCGTAACAGTCTTTTTAACAATATAAGGAACAGACCAGTGAGTGTCGTGGACCTTTTGGGAAAGGGTTTGAGTGACAGTCAGATGTTAAGGTGGTTTTAACATTTTTAGAGCTCACAGGATTTAGTGTTTGAGGATGAGGATCATGCTGCTTCTGCCCATCTCGGAGGTTGAGGAGCACAGTGTGGAAGCTGGAGGAGCTGAACACGCAGCACCAGCTGAAGCTTGGGCTCTGATCCTCTGGGGTGGGTGGGGCATTACAAATTTATTATTTTTTTTTTCCCCTTCAGTACAGATTCATCACCCATGTGCGCAAGAGATACAGTAGGTGGCGGTAATACTCCTAAGGAGTGAACGGCCATTGAACAAAAAGAAGAAGAAGAAGATAATATTCCTAATATATTTATTAGTACTGCGTTGTGCTTTTTGTCCCTTAGCAGCGTCCGTTCAGTGACGTAAAACATAAACAAGATGGCTACTTCCACGGACTTAAGCAAAATTGCTGCACTCTCTAAAGCAGATTACCTTAAACGGTATTTATCAAGTGAAGAAGCTGGCAAGAAGTCTAAAGAAAAGAAGCTTAAGAAGAAACGGCCGAAAGCCACGGGGAGAGGGTAAATATAATCGGACACACGTAACAGAAATGCAGATTTTAGCTCGCTGTATTCAGAGCTACCACTGAACAAAATTACATTATAGCTGAGCCTCAACTAAGTTACTTAACGTACAGAGTTGCCTGCATGCACAGCATTTTAGAAAGTTGAAAATGGCAACAAGGTTGCTTAAGTTTTAGCAAAGTGTACAAGGAGCTGAATTCCATCCATTTAACTCCAACTACAGGATGAAAATTGTGGATGACGACATTGATTGGAGGCAGCTGGCAGCTCAGGATGAAGAAGAAAAAGAAGACGAAGAAGATGAGGCGCCTGTGGTGTGTAAAAGCATGCTTGCCCTTTTCAGATTTTAGTCTCAACTTACTACAAACAGCTATTTAAGTAGTGTAAATCCTACTGAGTATGCATACCAGGTGCTTTTTTTAACTTTACATTGTATTAGAGCATGTCTTGCACAGATAGATGAAGAATGAATTATACTAAGAATGTGTTTCCACTTGTCTCGTTGTCGATGCCCAAATCCTGCTCCCAGGTTTGTTTAAGAGAGTCAACTGGAGATTAATTAAGGGAGATTATTTTACCATAGATGGCGGATATCAGTCGTCTTTGACCAGGGTCAAGGGCGAGAATTAAATCAAGTTCTAATTCAGGGGGCCGATTGGGAAAATGGGGAAATAACTTTTGAATAAAGTTCCTCACTTGAAAAAAAACGAAAAAAAAATAGATGGCTATTAGGAAGACTGAATTTAAGAAGAGAAAGAGGAGAAGATTTCTTTTTCATACAAGTCCTTCAAAGTAGAAAGGCCCTTACTTGCCCAAATATCGAAGATACGGTCTGAAAGGGACAGGGGAAAAAGTGATTTGGAAAGTGAAAATGGCATGTAAATCAAAGGTTTGTGCAAACCGAATTGTTTCCTAAATTGAAGCCAAGTCTTAATAGTGTTAATAACTACTGGATTGCTCGAAATTTTGTGTACCTCAAGAGGAAGCTGAGAACTTGTAATGTTTTAAAAGAAGTCTCGCCAAGGGTGCAATTTGGCACTCAAGAAATATTTCTTATTATTATGAATGTTAAAAAACAGTTGTACTGCTTTAATTCTTTTTTTCTTTTTTTTTTGTAGAAACCATGATACAGGATGTTTTGATGAATAGAAAGAACAGCATTTATTTGAAATGGAAATGTTTTGTGACAGTGAAGACATTTATAATATTTCATTTTGACACTTGAATGCTTCCTTGCTGAAAAAAGTATTAACTTCTTGTTAAAAATAAACGGTAATTTACATGCATCTAATACAATTTGTGTCTTATATTGTAGCAACAGAGAGAGATCCCCAGGAAACCCAGGACTCTGCATCAGATAAAAGGTATAAAGAAACTATCCTTCCGCTTTAGTTCTTATTCTTTTTAAAATCATTACTGTATAGAGAGTGTAGTAAATGTTCCTTTGTTTAGCTCGGACACTGACAGAGGTTATAGAGTTCGACATGACTCGCCAGAGACTTCTCCTGTACGGAGCGTGCGGCACGATTCCCCTGACCTCTCTCCTAAGAGGGCTCGACACGTCTCACCGGATCTCTCACCCCAGAGAAGAGGCCGTCATGACTCACCAGATCTTTCACCTCAGAGACACCGAGCCGAGAACAAAAACAGACGGCATGATTCCTTACCACCTTCCCCTCCAAGAAAGAGCCACAAGAGCTCACCCTCTAAACCTCAAAGGCTGCATGATAAAGGTACAAAAATATATCCACAAATCAGAAACAGCATTTACACTGAGTTATGTAGCTCAAAAATTATTTGTTATTTCAGAGTCTCCGCACAGAAAAAAGACAAAAGCTGCCGCCTCAGATGACCTTTCGCTCCCTAGGAGACGAGTACAAACAGGCAAAGGCTCAGACTCCGACCAGTCCCCACCGCGCAGACGTCCTCGTGGAGGACGGGGCTCAGACTTGGATCTGTCTCCACCCAGAAAGAGAGGCCAGGGTGGAAGAGGTTCAGATTCAGGTCTCTCTCCTCCCAGGAAGAGGCCACAGGGGGGACGTGGGTCGGATTCAGACCTGTCTCCACCACGGAGGACACGCTCTCCTGATGAACAGGCAGTAAGTTCAGGGTTCATGTTTGAGAATCCTTTATATCAGTCATTCTCAACCAGGGGCCGGGGCCTTCTGGGGTCCCTAGAAAACTTTAAAGGTAGGGTTGGGTATCGATTGTTTTTTTTTCGATACCGGTGCCAAATCGATAGTTTTAAAACGGTTCCGGTGCCTGAACCAATACTTATTAAAAAATAAATAATAATTCCCCCAAAAATGATGGATTGGCCATTAGCACTATAAACAAATTATGTCTGTTTCATTTATACTGGACACCAGAGGGTGCCCCTCGCACTGAAAATCCACATATCCAGTCACAGAAGTAGCAGAACTCATGACCCTCCAGGAAATCCCTTATATGGACAAAGGCATGGCTATTATAGCTGTAACTGAGTAAACAGAACATATAAACGTTTTGAATGATAAAACAAAGACAATAAACACTCGACTGCGACAATATAGTTTATCTGTGTTATTCAAGCCGTCTCTGGTATTTTCATAATAATTAAGTATATTTATAATCCATTGCTAATCGATGTATTCTTTTTAAAGTAGCCTATGGAACATATTTTCTGCCTCATTCTGTGACAAGAAGCCACATCAGATCACAGAAGGAAGTGGAGTAAAAAGGTTATAATGTTCTCTTTTGTTCGACAACAGGTTTAGAAATGTGAAAACAAGGGAAGTTTAGCTTTAAGCATTTTAATTTAAGCATGTTTAGCTTAGTTAACGGAAGGTTACCTGCTGCCTCCAGAGCAAGTGTAATTACTGCATTCACGCGCGGTTACATAGGTACCGGTGCTATATTGGTACTAATCTAACTGAAAAAAAATGCTGAAAAAGTAACAAAAACATTTTCATCTGCAATCATATTTCTTTTCATTTTTATCAATCAACAACATTTTTTTATTGAAGAATATACATATTTTGAATCTTCTGGAATCGCAGAATTAATTGTGGTTGATTTATTTAATATTATTTAATTGTCCAGTTTGTGTTACTAAAATAGTTTGAAAACAAGCAGTTTTGTCACGGTTACAGCAGAAATACTGGAAAAAAGTTAAGCCTATATGGGGGGCCTTCAATTATTGTGTTGGACAGAGGCACCGAAATCTGCAATCTGATTCGGTTCTAGTACATACCGGTTACATAGGTACCGGTGCTATATTGGTACTAATCTAACTGAAAAAAAATGCTGAAAAAGTAACAAAAACATTTTCATCTGCAATCATATTTCTTTTCATTTTTATCAATCAACAATATTTTTTATTGAAGAATATACATATTTAGAATCTTCTGTAATCGCAGAATTAATTGTGGTTGATTTATTTAATATTATTTAATTGTCCAGTTTGTGTTACTAAAATAGTTTGAAAACAAGCAGTTTTGTCACGGTTACAGCAGAAATACTGGAAAAAAGTTAAGCCTATATGGGGGGCCTTCAATTATTGTGTTGGACAGCGAGTTAAACAGATTAAGAAGCACAGCTTTAAATAATACTGATTGCACAGGAAGTAATGTATAATATTACTCATTTCAAAATAAAACATTGAATTATTTAATTGCCATTCATTATTAATGTTAGTGTTATTTTAATATGACAATTTTAAGGGTGTTAACTAATGTAGTTAACTAATGAACCTTATTGTAAAGTGTTACCGTTATTTTAATATGACAATTTTAAGGGTCTCTGGCACTTAAAAATAAAATGGTCTGTTTTTTTTTGTTGTTGTTGTGGCTTTAAGAAATGTCCCTTTTGTGTTTAAAATTATTGACAGCGTTCATAAAATAATTAACTTTTCAATGGATCCCACACAAAAAATACAACATATTTTCATATTTTTTCTATTCATTATTAAAAATTTAAGTTGAAACATGGATAATTATGTTAAAGGAGACATCAGATGCCCATTTCCCACAAGTTGGTATGATTCTTTAGGGTCTTCATGAAATGTCTGCAACATACTTTGGTTAAAATTCCTCAAAAGTCGTGTAAAACACCCTTTTACCTTGTCAAAAACAGCTCAGTTCACAGCGACCTGTTTCGGTCTCTTTAAATAACGTGCTACTGCTCACCCGACCCTTCTTCCATTTTTTTTATTTTTATTTGGTGGCATGTTACGAGTCAACAACAAAACAATATGCAAATACGGGACAGTTCGTAAGCATTCGTGGGCGGGGCCATAATGGCTTGGTAATTGAGACTGTTTAGGTTTTTAATGGATTAAAAAAAAAAAGGGGAGTGAATGGATTTTTATCGTTGTAGAGTGGTTGTGTCAGTGCTAAGACACATTTATATGCAAACACCATTTTGCATCTGATGTCCCCTTTAAGACTTTTACCATTTTCATTTTCAGGCCCCTCGAATGCTGTCTGGTGGAGCTGCAGGGCTCGTCTCTGTTGACATTTTGAGGAAAGAACAGGAAGAAATTCGCAAAAAGGAAAAGCGCAACCAGCCTCTTGAAGGTCTTTTGAAAAGCAATTGATAATGTGTATTCGAAAGTGTTGTTTTATTTCCTAACATTAATGACAAGAGCATTATTAATGTTTTTACTTTTTCAGAGGCATCAAGAAATGCAGAGACAACATTTCGAGACAAGTCGGGTAGGACACGCAACCTGGAGTCAGAGAGAGTTGAGCTTGGCAAGAAAGCAGAAGAAAAAGCAGAGAAGGATGAAAAATATGCACAATGGGGAAAAGGGTGAGGTCCATTTAATGGTGTTCAAATGCAGATATGTGACCCTGGACCACAAAACAACATATAAGGGTCAGTTTTCCAACTGAATAAATAAGCTTTCCATTGATGTATGGTTTGTTAGGATTGGACGATATTTGGCCGAGATACAACTATTTGAAAATCGGGAATCTGAGGGTGCAAAAAAATCAAAATATTGAGAAAATTGCCTTTAAAGTTGTGCAAATGAAGTTCTTAGCCATGCATATTACAAATCAAAAATTAAGTTTTAATATATTTACAAAATATCTTCATGGAACATGATCTTAACTTAATATCCTAATGGTTTTTGGCATAACAAAAAATCTATAATTTTGACCCACACAATGTATTTTTGGCTATTGCTACAAATATACCCCAGCGACTTAAGACTGGTTTTGTGCTCCAGGGTCACATATTTGTTATTTTCAGTCTGTGACTTGTCACTAGCTTTGACATCTGTACTGTCCTCATTCAGGCTTGCTCAGGGTGAAATGCAGCAACAGAACTTGACAGATGCCATGCGGGAGGCTCAGAAGCCACTAGCGAGACACATTGACGATGAAGACCTCGATCGGATGCTGAGGGAGCAAGAGAGGGATGGAGACCCAATGGCTGCCATGCTTCGCAAAAAGAAAGAAAAAAATGCTCAATTAAAAGGAATCAAAGGTAAATGTGTGGAATAATGCCCAAGTTTCCACATTTGATCCCTGTTGTTTGACTGTTACTTTTGATAATAATGATTTTTACTTTTAGTTTGTGTTTATCATTTTTCTAATATATAGAATCAAACTTACAGAGATTGATCTTAAAACAAGCCCAGACAACAGTACTATAATTCGTGTTTTAATGTTTTTCTCCAGAAAAACCTCGTTACAAAGGTCCACCTCCACCTCCGAATCGTTTTAACATTATGCCAGGGTATCGCTGGGATGGAGTTGACAGGTAAGAGGTTTTGATTAATGATATCTGGTTTGAAATATCACAAGCTCACTAATGCAAACCCCAGAAAATGGTTTAAATGACATTTCATATGATCTTTTAGGTCCAATGGTTTTGAGCAGAAGCGGTACAGCAGGATAGCCGATAAGAAAGCTGTCCAAGAAATGGCGTACAAGTGGAGTGTGGAAGACATGTAAATCCAGATGAGTGTATAGAGATTCATGATTTAAAAACTGAAATGACTGGCATAGTACAGTTCCCACTGCACCTGCACACACTGCAAAGTGGAACTTCTTTGTGTGCCATCAAGAATCGGGGCGTTTCATCAAAAAGCAAGATGTTTGTGTGCAGTTATTGGTCCACTGTGTACAAGAAACATACTTTCTTTATTAAATGCTACTTTTTTAACAAATCTGTTTTGTCCTGATTTTCGTCAGTGCCATTTCAAAACCAATAATTTTATTTAACAACAAATTTAGAGATGGACTTGATGATAGCACACAATATTGTTTTATTTTGGAGAAAACTTTTTCATAATGTTATTTTTTTTTTTTTTCGCCCCACTTTCAATTGTTTTACTTATACGTTTAGTTTAACAGAATTTAATTGAAATAGAATGTTTTGGAAACATTATAAATGCTTTTACTATCACTTGTGATGAATGTAATCCATTCTTGGAGAATAAATTAGTAATATATATATATATATGAACACTGCCGTTCAAAAGTTTGGGATCGGTAAGACTTGTTTTAATGTTTTTTAAAGTCTCTTATGCTCATCAAGGCTGCATTTATTTGATCAAAAAAACAGAAAAAAACAGTAATCTTGCAAAATGTTATTACAATATAAAATAACTGTTTCTATTTTAATATCCTTTAAAATATAATTTATTTCTGTGATGCAAAGCTGAATTTCCATCAGCCATTACTCCATAAAGTGTCACATGATCCTTAAGAAATCATTCTAATATGCTGATTTATTATTAGAAGGATCAATGTTGGCAACAGTTGTGCTGCCAAATATTTTTTTGGAAACTGCGATAATTTTTTCAGGATTCTTTGATGAATAAAAAGTTAAAAAGAACCGCATTTATTCAAAATATTAATATTTTCTAACAATATAAATCTTTGCTATCACTTCTTAACAATTTAACACATCCTTGTTGAATTTTTTTTTTAGTTTCTTTCAAAAAAAAAAAGAAAGAATAAAAATGTACTGACCCCAAACATTTGAATGGTAGTGTATATTGTTAGAAAATATTTCTATTTTAAATAAATGCTCTTCTTTTTACCTTTTTATTCATCAATGAATCCTGAAAAAAAGGTATCACAGGTTCCAAAAAAATATTAAGCAGCACAACAGTTTCCAGCACTGATGATATATCAGCATATTAGAATGATTTCTGAAGGATCATGTGACACTGAAGACTGGAGTAATGATGCTGAAAATTCAGCTTTGCATCACATGAATAAATTAGATTTTAATGTATATTAAAATTGAAAAACTTTATTTTCCATCATAAGAATATTTCACAATATTACATTTTTTCCTGTATGTTTGATCAAATAAATGCAGCCTTGATGAGCATAAGAAACTCCTGTAAAAAACATTAAAAATCATTCTGATCACAAACTTTTGACCGGTAGTGTGTGTATATTACTGACCCCAAACATTTAAACGGTACTGTATAATAAGACATTTTCCAATGTAAAAGTAAGCAGAAATATATTTTCTAAAGATATTAAATGTCATGTAGTACAGTTGAAAGACACAAAAGTAAAGCTGACTAACATAAATGCATGGTTTAAAGAAGCTTTTTGTGTTATTTATGCATCCAGTGTATAAATGCACTTTGATGGTTTTCTCTGGCCTTCATCAGTCAGCTACAGCTGTTCTTTTGAGTCGGGCAGGCGGTGGGCGTGCGTGCACAGAGACATCCCAGCCTGGGAAAGCCTCTTGCTGCACTGTTTTGTATTCAGCTCTGTACAACACAGATTTAAATTCATTACTTTTAATATATTCTTTTAAGATTTTAAGTCAAACTGAATGCAAGTAAGTTCAGTGGCCTTGCCTCATTGAAGTGTTGATCGCCAGGTTGTCAGGATGAGGTACAACCTGATTTCTCCTGACATAGATTTTCTTTGGAGATGGGAAGTCCTGCTGGTAAAGAGAACATCTCTGTATTTGGCCAGTCCTGTTTTCTCTTGCGGGGACTTTTCCATGCCACACGATCGGAGTGCCATCTGGTTTGTAATAAGGGTAATCCTCTCTATTTGTTGTGCTGAAACTCCTGTCACCTGCAATTACATAGAGATATTTGGCACAGAGATCTACAAAATAGGTTAGGTAAGATAGTTTATAGCTTTATTAGCATTTTTCGATGCTAATTCATTATTTTCTAGAATTTCAACGAGTTCTGTTTAATCTAGAGTTAGGCTGCACTGTAATATATTTTTAAATGTAATTTATTCCTGTGATAGCAAAGTTACGTTTTTTTCGTCTGCCATTACTCCAGTCCGCGGTATACTCAAGAAACATTTCTTATTGTTAAAGAATTTGTTTATAGTTATTATAGTGAAAACAATTTTCAAATTTGATGGAAAACATGAAATTCTTTGATAAATAAATGTAAATAAATTTTTTGATCAATGTAATGTCTCCTTGCTGAATAAACATATTTCTGTTTTGTTGTTGTTTTTAAAAATATTGACCCCAAATTTTTAAACAGTAGTGTATATAAATAATACTATATAACATATAATGTAAATATCTTTAGTTTTTTCCAGCCCTCTAATCTTGTCTTCCAAGGAAATCAGTTGTTTAATAATGAACTTAATAAAACAGCAGTTATGTAGTGATAGCTAATATTTGACTCACAGATCTGCAAAATAGGTAAGTTTACTACAGATGGTTTGTAGCATTTCTAATAGATACTAGTTAATTATTTCCCCAAATTTCAATGAGATTCATACCATCTAGAGTTAGGCTGCACTGTAGGATCTTCTTTGGCTCTACCTTTGGGCAGGTTTTGGGTCCAAATTCAGTTTCTGTTGTGGTTACCATCTTTTCCCGCTTACCAGGGTAGAGCAGTAAGCCTGAAGAGAATATTTGTCAGCATTTGTCTTTTTGTAAGTGACACTCATTCAAATATGCTTTAGTTTATTATCTGAATGCCATGTACCATTTGCTGACTGTTACAGACCTAACTATAGTCATATGTCTTTGGCAATTCTGAATGAAAGCTGAGGACAAATTAAAATCTGCTCGTTTCCCTGCTTACCAGCCAAAGAAGGAAGTTCTCCCAGCATTGGAAAGGCTTGTGGGTGTTTCAACATCATTTGACCGTTTTTGAGGAGCAATATATCTGTTCTACGTTGGTGACCAAATGGGATTCTTAGAGATGGTCTCTGCTGCTTGCTGAGTGTCTTCTCATGAGTAGTCATCTTTGAGTTACTGGTGAGACTGAATATATTTAAGCTTGTAAAAATATTTTTTTATTATTATATTTTAAAATGAGTGAAGGGGATTTAAAGGTTATGCTGGTTTCAATGTTTTAATCAGTAATTTGAATCACTTAAATATTTTCTAATGAGATGTTTACTTGTGCACTATATATATTCAGAGTATAATTATTGGCTGATTTCAAAACCTTTATAGAATTTAAAATGATTTTACCTTGTCCTCTTTGTCCTCCAATTAAAAGAAGTGAACTCACCCCATGCATCGCACATATTCTTCCCGTGAAATCAGTTTATGAGCAGTTTGGTAGCTGCTGATTTGTTTTTCATTCTTGCAGCACAGTGGCATGTTAGGGAATGGCTGTTGCACTCAGTTAGCGGCTGTTGCCATGGCTGCTCTATTCTTTATAGAAAGCCTGAAGGGTGATGGACTCAGCTCAAGAACAATGAGTGTTCTGTAATAAATACCATAGACTGACGAGACGTTGCACTTGTGCTCAGCATGAGACTCTTAATTGAATCAAACCTGAATAAAAACAGCCGGGCTCAGTATCTCGATATTTATGCTTATGGATTTATTAATGGATGATAACCAAGAAAACATATTGTTATTATTCCCCTAATGTTATTGTATGGTTTGGTCATTTCTTTGGGAACATTGTAAGGTATGTTTTAGGCTGTTCTTTTCAGCTTTTACTTTTAAATAACCATAAACTACCAGTCCTTAGAAAATTCTGGGAAATTATTAGCTGGGTAAACTAGTTACATTTATATATTTATTTATTTAGTTTGTTATTTTATATATATATATCTATACAGTATCTCACAGAAGTGAGTACACCCCTCACATTTTTGTAAATATTTTATTATATCTTTTCATGTGACAACACAGAGGAATGACACTTTGCTACAATGTAGTGTGTGTACAGCTTGTATAACAGTGTAGATTTGCTGTCCTCTCAAAATAACTTCACACACAGCCATTAATGTCTAAACCGCTGGCCACAAAAGTGAGTACACCCCTAAGTGAAAATGTCCAAATTGGGCCCAATTAGCCATTTTCTCTCCCCAGTGTCATGTGACTCATTAGTGTTACAAGGTCTCAGGTGTGAATGGGGAGCAGGTGTGTTAAATTTGGTGTTATCGCTCTCACTCTCTCATACTGGTCACTGGAAGTTCAACATGGCACCTCAAACTCTCTGAAGATCTGAAAAAAATTGTTGAATTGTTGCTCTACATAAAGATGGCACAGGCTATAAGAAGATTGCCAAGACCCTGAAACTGAGCTGCAGCAAGGTGGCCAAGACCACACCACAGTTTAACTCAGGTTTCACTCAGAACAGGCCTCGCCATGGTCGACCAAAGAAGTTGAGTGCATGTGCTCAGCGTCATATCCAGAAGTTGTGTTCGGGAAAACTCACTTTTGTGGCCAGCGGTTTAGACATTAATGGCTGTGTGTTGAGTTATTTTGAGGGGACAGCAAATTTACACTGTTATACAAGCTGTACACTCACTACTTTACATTGTAGCAAAGTATAATTTCTTCAGTGTTGTCACATGAAAAGATATTCACAAAATAAAATAAAATATTTACATAAATGTGAGGGGTGTACTCACTTCTGTGAGTTACTGTGTATATATATATATATATATATATATACATATATACATTGTTGGAAGGTTACTTTGGAAATGCAATAGGAAGTTACCCTATTTAAAATGTAATAAGTATTGTAACTATTTCAATTACTTTATTAAAGTAATGTAACTGATTGCTTTTTGATTCAAAATTTCTAATTAATGTTTTCAACTGTTAATCAAAGATTTAAAGCAGCCAGGGTTAACCTTAAAGTAGTACTCAACACTGATTACTGTCAAGACTTTCAAAATCCTCAAAACTCCACTTGAATTAAGATTATAAATATTTAATTTTAAATCACAGCCAACACAAAATCAGACTTTTGCATCTTTTTTTTTACTTGAAGTTAAATACAGATTAAAAATCATAAGATATAGTTTAATAGCTATGATACTGTTTTTGAAATCATATATTTGCATAACAAATATGTCTGGAAACACTGGCATCTAACAATGCCTTGGGAATTTTTTTTATTAATTTAAATTAATAAAGCAAATACATAAACCCAAATAGAAAATTAAACACTTATCAAATAAGCATGTCCTATTCTGTGTCCTAAACTCCTGAAACATTGGTGTCTCATATTTAAGAGCAGTCAATTTTGGGATAGGAATTAAAAATATGTGTGTGTGTGTGTGTGTGTGTACTGGTGGGTCATATGATGTGATTTCAAGTTTTCCTTTCTCTTTGGAGTGTTACAAGCTGTTCGTGCATAGATAAGATCCCTAAAGTTGCAAAGACTAAAGTCTCAAACCCAAAGAGATATTCTTTATAAAAGTTAAGACTTGTCCACGCCCTCCTAAAACACCTCGTTTAAACACGCCCCTACATGACTACGTCACTGTTTGGGAAGATTTGCATAACACCGCCCAAATGTTCATGCAAAGAAAGAAGGCGTTACTTTGATTCTCTGCTGTAGTATTGTTGCTGTCTTCCCATGTCGAGGAGATGCTGTGTTTCGTTGCGAAACTATTTTGTTCGGCCTTCCAAAAGAGGACACAACTAGAAATCAGTGGTTAAGTTGTATTTACAACACTGTTCCAGAACAGTTCAACCCAAATATTTGTGTGTGTGCAACGCATTTTACGGAGGACGAGAACTGTTTCCTGGGAGAGTAGCCTATGTAAGTACGTTTTCGTATTTAAAGGGGTGGTTCATTGCGATTTCACTTTTTTAACGTTAGTTAGTGTCTAATGTTGCTGTTTGAGCATAAACAATATCTGCAAAGTTACAAAGCTGAAAGTTCAATGCAAACGGAGATATCGTCTTTTAAAATTCTGGAAGTTTAATGCCTACAAAAACAGCTGGTAGGGACTACAACGAGTTACTTCCCGGGTGCGTGACATCACAAACCCTGATAAACCCCGCCCTCGGGAGAAGGCAGCAAAGGGGGCGAGGCCATGCTGCTCTGCTTTAGAGAAGAGGAAGAGAAAACTAGAGGTGCACCTAAAAATGTATTCATATATGAATCGCGATTCTGTCTTCTAACGATTCTAATGGATTCACACGTTTCAAAATCAATGTTCAAAAGCAGCGGTTCTTAATACTGTTCCTTACGTTCCCCTGCTCTGCACACGCTCTGCATCTCTCTCTCTCTCTCATTCAGCTCAGCTCCAACAATGAACTGTTACAACTATACACTTATTTTCACATAGATATGAGAAGCGTTAAACATGGTTGCACGTGCAGTTGCCGTACTGTATTAAAGCTTTAATCAGGATAAAACCGTATATTAAAAGCTAACAGAAGCAGTAGCATTTACAAATAACAGCGTATCTAAAAGTATGAGACAACAACAAACAAAAAACATAGGCCTATACCATTAAATATATGCTGTATATACACATATACTTTGTATTTGTATATGCTCTTTACTTTCCCTTTCTTTTCTTTTTATGGTTTTGAAATAAGTTACTATCAAATGCATAGCAAGGCTGCATTTATTTAATCAAAATAGTAAAAACATAATATTGTGAAATATTATTACTATTTAAATGAACTATTCTCTATTGTAATATACTTTATAATGTAATTTATTCTTGTGATGGCAAAGCTGAATTTTCAGCATTCATTACTACAGTCTTCAGTATTACAGTGTTCAGAAATTATTCTAATATGCTGATTTGGTGCTGATTTTTATGGAAACTGTGATACATTTTTTCTTTCCTGAATAAATATATAAATATAAAACAATGCACTTTATTATAAGTATAGTGAAATAAGTCAAGAAACGATATAAGATAGCATCAACAATTTTAATCAACAATAACATTAGATATTCCCAAGCAATGGTTGCAAATTGTATTAAGGAAGAGTAAAATCAAGGGTGTGGCTAATCAAAATCATCTTATCCATTCATTGGGAAGAGCAAGAAGCCTGTAAAGGTGCAGTCAGTGTCTCTACTGAAGATAGAGCTCAGTGCAGTTGTCTGTACAGACACTTTATCACCTGTTTTCAGTGGCAGTACCACAGATCCTGCAGTTACCATAATCATTCCAGGTGAATCACAGAACTTCACCTTCTCTTCCTCCCCTACCTGAATCTTTAGGCAGGCAGATTGACTGGATGAAATGTGGTAACTGATGTAATACATGCCAGCTTTTCCCACCTCAAAGAAACCCTCACTATCCAAAACACCACCTGCCCCAGAGATCAGTGGGATGTCAAAGACGATTAATTTGTCTGGATTAACTCTCTGTGCCCGAGCACTTTTTTTGTAAGAGAAAACAAAATACTGGTTTGGAGTATCTACCCCCGTAAAATCTCCCCTCTCTCCCTTCGGTCCCACTGGGCCTGGTGGACCATGTAGTCCCTTGTCCCCCTTCTCACCAGGCCTCCCTGGGAGTCCAGGAATTCCAGGGTCCCCTTTTGGCCCAATTATCGGCACTGCATCCTCACCTGCAATCACGCACACAGCAGGGTAAAGTGAGTTTAACCTTCATGTTGTCATTTTGACTCAGGCAGGATTTTTTTTTCCAGAAAATACTAGTTAATGTACATGCATTAGACTAAAACTTAAGGGATAATCCACAAAAATAAATAAATAAAAAATCTGTTATCATTTACTCACCCTCAAGTTGTTCCAAACCTGTATGAGTATCTCTCTACTTCCCAAATATGGACAAAAAATACAATTGAAATCAATAGGTACCAGAAACTGTTCTTCTGTTTCGAGAGGAGAGATACTCATACAGGTTTGGATCAACTTGAGGGTGAGTAAATTATTTTTTCATTTACATTCAGAATTTTCATTTTTAGGTGAACTATCCCTTTACCAACTTTGCTCACACAGTGTATGACAAACAAACAAACAAAAACATCAAATAGTGTACTTTTTGGGGATATTTTTGTTTGTTTGTTAAACTTCTGGTGTTCCTGGTCAAAAATGACTGGCCTACAAAATAATTGCTTATGAATTTCTTTTTATGGCATATTGTTTCGAGATATTGGATTCAGTCTTTTTATCAACTTTTTTTTCAATTAGCACAAGTACTTATACTTCTTTTTAGAGCTAATAGGTCATAGAGGCCTCATTGATCTGAGCTTATGCACCTTAGTTTTTGAGTGAATATTCCCAAAATTAACAAATAAAGCTTTTTGTCACTCAATAGGTGCATAAGCTCAGATAAGTGAATAATCCCTTACAAAAAGAAATATAAAACCTTTGCTAATTGAAAAAAAAATCAAGTTGACAAAAAAGAGTGAACCCAGGATTTAATAATATTAATAATAATATAGCATAATGGGAGATTTGTAAGACATTTTTAAAAGGCCGGTTATTTTTTGACCATGAACACCAGCACAAGGGTTAAGCATACGATTTTCAGCACAAGGGTTACACAAGAAGGCACATTTTTTAATTTCAATTTGCAGTTTTTTCCACATATCACTATACCTGGATCTCCTTTTTCTCCTTTTGCACCTTCCTTCCCATCGGTACCAGGAACTCCTGGAATACCTGGTCTTCCAGGGAAACCCCTGTAGCCATCACATTTCTCTGACTCAGAGGAAGCCACCAGCAACAACATAATACTAAGCCGCAGCACCATATGTGCAGACATGAATGAATAATCCCTTACAAAAAGAAATATAAAACCTTTGCTAATTGAAAAAAAATCAAGTTGACAAAAAAGAGTGAACCCAGGATTTAATAATATTAATAATAATATAGCATAATGGGAGATTTGTAAGACATTTTTAAAAGGCCGGTTATTTTTTGACCATGAACACCAGCACAAGGGTTAAGCATACGATTTTCAGCACAAGGGTTACACAAGAAGGCACATTTTTTAATTTCAATTTGCAGTTTTTTCCACATATCACTATACCTGGATCTCCTTTTTCTCCTTTTGCACCTTCCTTCCCATCGGTACCAGGAACTCCTGGAATACCTGGTCTTCCAGGGAAACCCCTGTAGCCATCACATTTCTCTGACTCAGAGGAAGCCACCAGCAACAACATAATACTAAGCCGCAGCACCATATGTGCAGACATGAAGATGAATGCCTGTTAAAAAAAAAAAAAAACATTTAAAAACAAGTGCCATTTCAAGGAAAAATCATTGGACACTTCAGTTCTTCTACAGTGACTGATATAAGCAAGCATGTAAATATTCCTTTAATCAAATTATGTACTTCAATAAGAATTTTTGAAAATAGAAGCCAAATACAGATTTATTACAATAAAATTTATCTTACCATCTTGTCTTCCAAGAAATCTGTTGGAAATACAGATGGATGGCCTTGAAGCTGAGTGTTACATTGAATGTTTTTCTCCGGTCTGCATGAAGAGCTCCGATTTGATTTCCCGGTTTCAGAGGAGAAGTGCAGAGTTGCGCAATAAAGGGAAGTATCAAAACACATATTCATCATAATTTAGATTAACCTTGGATTACCTTTTTAATTAGTGTTACTGACATTTTATTTTGCTAATGTTTGCAAGTTCCATATCCCTTTTCTGAGAAACTGAAAAAGGAAGCAAAGTTATCCATATCGAAAAGTGTTTTGAAAGAAATGTTTACTTTCTTAGCAAGGATGCGTTCATTTGATCAAACGTGACAGTGCACATTTATAATGTAACAAAAGATTTCTATTTAAAATAAATGCTGTTCTTTTAAACTTTCTATTCATCAGAGATCCTGAGAAAAAATCTATCATGGTTTCCACAAAATATTAAGCAGCACAACTTTTTTCAACACTGATAATAATTGAATGATTGAATGGTATAGTGTACGTATCACAAACCCTTTTTTTATGATATATGACATGTAGCTAACTTACATAGACACTGTGAATTGCTATCATCATATAATGTTTAGAATTATTTGCTAAAACTGTGCTTATTATTAACTATTAATAATCCCTACGGTCAGGTTGACAGGTTCTGAAAAGATTATGTGTCAGATCTTTTGAAAAGAGTGATACTGTGTATTCATAAAACTTGAGACAATTTACTGAAGCATTATTTTGTTTTATTTGTTCAGGAGTTTCAAAATGTAATTGTGTGCATTTTCCATGAGTAAAAGATACAGTATGTTTAACAAGCATCAACTTCGCTCAACTTTATAGTTCAAAACAGTGCAATCAATCAGTGTGCATGAATCAGGAAACCTGAGAAAACACTGTCTGCTTTCTCCCCTTCTGCAAACAGGCCATTATAGCCACTTGTCATCAGCCAGACTTTCTCATTCTCTTTCAGATAAACTGCTAGCCCACCAGAGCTCACCTGCTGGTTGCTCTTTTGCATGTGATCACAGAAAACAGCTAACTTCTTATCATCATGAATTAGGTTTACACAGAGATGTTTTTCATAGGACGATGCATGAAACACAAAATAATAAGTGCCAGGAATTTTACATACAAATTTGCTCTCTGCAATATTGAAATCGCCATTGATATTGGTGATGATAGTACTGAAGCGTATCAGAGAGTTTGGCTCAGGATGGGCTCTAGTGGCACGGGCAACACTGAATGCAGACTGCAGATGAGATCTGGACGTGTCCAAATTGCCTGTGTCCCCTGGCTGTCCTGAGAGGCCGGGTGGTCCCATTATGCCGAAATCTCCCTGGAGACCTCTCTTTCCATGAAATCCTTTGGTTCCAGGCTCTCCTTCCCCCCCCCTTTTCCTGGTTTCATCAGGTTTAAGAGGCATCCCTGTTGAGATACACAGTTGTTTTTACATCATGTTAGAAGTATACAGCCTATACTACAACCTAACACTGTCTCAACATCGGCTGGCATTTTTAATTATTAATTAGTAGGTTATATAATTCAGTCCTTTTGTTTTCATTATTGGGTTCACCCAAATATTCCCACAATGTTGGTCATTGCAGGTATTACTGTTAATATATAAGCCTACAAAACGTTCACACAAACACCTAAAACACACTTCTCTTAAATTTAATTGGTTGTTTTATTACTTATTTGATCTGAGCTTTGGTAAGAATCTATAGTTCACTAAAATTGCTGTACACAGACATCCTTTTTTTTTTGGCAAAAATGCAATTCAGTTCTTAATTATAGCCTTAATTATAGCCTATAGTAAACAATATTAAATATATAAAAGATTTTAAAAAATAATAAATATTTTATTCATTATATAATAATGCATGTATCTTTGTGTTGATTGATTCGTTGGTATGAGTCATTAAAAGTTCTAGCCACACCGTCATTTGGGAGTTGCGTAACACTGCTGGCGCTGAACGATTTTGATTCACTAAAAGGAACCGGCTCATTAGAGTCATTTTTTCGGGAATTGAGTTTGTGTGAGAGAACACATGAACGTCATTCGGTTTTTGCATAGTTAAAACGTAGAACAAGTTCTGATTAAGAACTGGTAGGTTCCCACAAACTAAAACACTCTGAATGATTTATTTCAAAAAATTAATTAATTAATTAATTTAATAAAAAAAAACTTACCAGGCTCTCCGTTCTCTCCCTTCATCCCTTCCCTTCCATCACGTCCAGGAAATCCAGGGATACCTGGATAACCTGGCATCCCTCCAGAAGTACAAGTGTCAGTAGAGACTAGAGACAGGCAGAGGGAACCCACTAAAAGAATTCTAAAAATGATGTGACCACCAAACATTTTGCTGTGGAGCGAGGAGATAACCGGACCCACACGACTTGAGATAGTGAGCTCTATAATCGTACACAAATACATCAGTCCAAGCAAACTTAATGACAATCACAGTTCCTCTTTTGCGCTGCACGTGTTGCACTTATCCACGGATCTTTCACAAAACTGCATGCAAACAAATCTTTATTCGTAGTATAGCATTTGACTTTTTTCTTAGTGTAAGTTTATAGGCCCTACTGACAACACTGCAAAAATTACTTTTCCAAGTTGTAAATAAAACAAAGATTATTATAGTACATTTCACAAGAAAGTACTAGGCTATTTCAGATGTGCTACTTGTATTGGATTATTTATTTTATTTTACTGGATTCAGTGTGTTACTCGCCTTTCTCTGTAATTGTTTGTGCAATTTACTACACTCTAAAAAATGCTGGGTTGTTTCAACCTAACACTGCGTCAAACATGGACTAACCCAACTGTTGGGTTCAAGTTTTACATTACATTTTTAACCCAAAAGTTGGGTTAGTCCATATTTGACCCAAAGTTGGGTTGAAACAACCCAGCATTTTTTAGAGCGTAGCGATTTCTGAGAAAAAAACTGTTTTCATACATACTCAGTGTAAATATTTTAATGTAAAATAAATATATATTATATAAAATAATAAACATGGCAAATAATTAAAATAAAAAATAACTGCAATTATTTTTTAACTTTTAAATTTTTTTAATCAGACAACTTTTATTTTCGTTAGACACATATTTCATTGTTAATGGATTGTAGAATTTAGAATGAAAATATAGTGAAAGGTAATCATTTCGAATAAACATGTTCTTATGCTTTTTATTTAGTTAATTGGAGACATTTATCAAAGACAACAAAGCAGTTTTAATACAAGACCAGATACAAGAATACAAGATTTGAATACAGCTTGCAACAGATTATTAGATTTTCATTCATGTTTTTGAAATGCTTACATCACTGCTATACATCACTATCACAGTCAATAATTATTTGCAGTGTGTTTAATATGCAGACTATTAAGTCCTATGGTTTGTGATAGATTAAAAATCCATTGAACACAGCAGACATGCTTTTGGGCATTTTGCTGCCAGCAGCACTTTTTGTGAAAGGCTCGATCCATACTTTGTCATTTGTAAATAGTTGAAGTATGGCACCACCTGACACAACAGCAGATAGTGATCGTGGGTTTAAGTCACAAAAATTCAGGCTGACTGAATTCCTGTTACTCTTAAGTCTGAGACATAAGTGTCCTTCAGACGATGCGTGAAACACAAAGTAATACACCCCAGGAACCTTGCAAGTGAAATAGCCAGTTTTAAGGTTGAAATCATTATCGACATTGCTAAGTTGACTATCAAAGATCACAGGTTGGCTATATGAAGCATAATCTGCTCGGTTTCGCAGCACAGAGAAAGCTGGCTTCTTACTGGCAGGGCCTCCACTGCCATCAATGCCACCACTTGATCCTCTAGGACCCTTAGGACCAAGAAAACCCTTTGGACCCTGTGCACCCATAAAACCCTTTGGACCAGGTTCTCCTGGAAAACCTCTGATGCCCATCTCTCCTTTGAGTTCTTGCATGGTGATACTGTTCAGCATATCCTGCAATGCTGAGAGAGCATACTATTATTCAAAAACTATCATTTCTATTCCTTCATACTAACAATTGCAAGCTCAAAAAAATGCTATTTTTAACTGATCGTTTTCAACTGGATAAACACACATTACTTTCTCACCTGATACTCCTTTCTCTCCCTTTGTTCCTGGTAAGCCGTCCCTGCCAGGGACTCCACTCACGCCATCTCTCCCATGTATCGCACATGTATCATCCTGACAGAAAGCAAAGGGAAGCAGCACCCAAAGAAAAGCAAGTAAAGCCAGCGGCTGCATCCTAAAACATCTAAATCACGAAGAACAAATGAGGTTAACAACTGCACAGGCGTTTTGAGTTAACGTACTATAATAGAAACAACTATAAGACAATATAATATTGAATTATTATTCTAAAATCCTTAGCAGTTAAAAATTTCTGTCTTACCAGTGTCCCGTTGAAAATTTTACACTTCTTTTCTTGATTGTGGGTGGTAAAATGAGGTTAAAAAAAGGCTGATGCTGAGAAAAAAATGTAATTGTTTCATTTCTCCAAAATTTGAACTATATTAAACATCTTTTGAAATTGCCAACACATGGGTTTTTTTCCCTTCCCCATTCTCCGTCAACATTCCGTTTTATTCTCATAAATTTTTTTTTGACATAATAAAAGGTCAAAAATCAGTGTTTTACTTCTTAAAACTGTCACAACAACTTAACCCTTTACTACACAGATTAACAATTATAAGATTACCAAATAAAAATCTATTTGATGTCGATAATAATCAAGTTGATGGTAATCAAAATGGTTTGGTTACCCATATATCTTCTTTTGTGATCTGCAGAAGAAAGTAAGGCATACAGGTCTGGAATGACATGAGGGTGATTAAATGTTGATAGAATTTTTATTTATGGGTGAAAGGACAGGCTAATAAATTCAACACAAAAATCATTCCATGCCAAAACTGAAAAGAATGTGGTGATTTATTTATTTTTGCACATATGACAAAATAAAATTCCAAACAGAATAGCACAAAATAACACAGAATTTCAGTATAGATGAATGATTGTGTGAGTCTGTCACACACACAAAAAAACTTTATTTTGATTGTTATAATACAAATGCTACTCGTTTTTCATGAACATGGAGACTAGACTCTGATTCCTGTGTGCTTTTATCTCGTGGCACTCATTAACACCAGTTAAAGGAACAGGTGCTGTCTTATTCTCCCTCTGGTAGTATGGACAAACCTTTAGATGTTCAGAAATTGGAGGTAATTTGTCAAAGCACCAGCTGTCCACAGTGGAGAACAGGTTGCTAAACTGCCAAACCTGATGACGTTTTAAAGGTCAATTAGTGTAAGTCAGATACTTCTTATTTTAAGAATTCATGCACATACACAAGCTAAGTGAACTGCTCCATCATTCTGAGTCTTGAGAGTTTTGAGAAACACATTTTATGCACTGAACAAGTCTCTGCTTTCTAATGATTATGATTCTAGAAAATTCAAGTTTTTTTTCAAATTGCATTTCTCCACAAAAGGCTCATTATGACTTCAGACTCCAAATGATAGGCCTGTTCTCTACACAAGATTGCCATTTTTTATTATTATTATTAAAAAATTTAATTGCTGTAGAAACTCACCCTCTTTCTGGCTCTCCAGCACCATCCACCATGAGAGTAGACCTTCTTCTCCCACTTCAGTGAGACCATTCCTCTATCATGAAGCAAGGTCCTGCATACCTCCCTCATTAGACAAGAGACCAGAGCCAGCTGGGACAGGGTGAAGCTATCAAGAAATCCAGCAACATGGACTAGAACCTCAAAAGGTAGCCTGCTCAGAGCGTCTGTATTCCGTGCACGCTTTCTTTCCACAGTCACCGGTTTTATACCGTCATACAGTGTGCCTGAAACCTTCGGTCGGAGACAGAAAGTGCTGAGCTCCCTGTCATAGAAAACCGTCGCTCTGTGAGAGCTGGGCTGAAACCTTCTCTGAATAAAAGTGCAGCCAAGGTAGGCCAGAGGGCATCGCTGTTCAAACCATCCACTGATGCAACTCTGGATGTCTGAGTGAACGTTCTTGTAGTGTGACGGAAACTCATCCCGTCTGAATATGTGGTTGCAGAGGTAGGTAAACGCAGAGCTGGATTTGTTGTGTCTTCTGGTGACGCTCTCAGCCTGAATGTGGACGTGAAGTTTCAAAGCCCGGTCTGCAGTGATGTCGGCCAGTGAAGTCTCTTCTTTGAAAGGTGCCAAGTAGAAATCATACGTCTGTGTTCCAACGTCCAGAAGAAGGGCATCTGTAGACCTGGATTCGGCTATGAGATGGCCCCGTAGTTCCCTCTCCAAAGAGCACAACAGAGTAGCTTGAACTTCATCCCATTTTGGAATGTCATCGATTTCAACACCTAGGTCAGATGTGTCTACGCTTGAGTTCACCTTCTTGTTATGAGAGGGGTTTCGAATGCGACTTTGTTTGGCGTTGAAGCTGGTTGGGACTTTGAAAGTCCGGACTGTTTTAATCTTCATGGGCTCCAAATGTTGATAGACAAGTTTCTTCTTGGGCCTCGTGTCACATGCAAACAGGGATGTGGCTATGAGGAATTTGTCTTCATCCATGTCGTATGCATTGTATTGAGGGATGTCAGTAGAGGAGTCAAGACTTGACAGCTCTTCCCGTAGGACGTCCAACCTGCTCGGGTTGGCTTGTGGCTTTATTTCTTTGCGAGAGTTTTCAGGATTTTGCCCAATAGATTTTATTGTATGCTTGCAGCCGCTCAATTCCATGCTGAACATTTTTTCCCAAATATAATAGCTTTCGATATTAACCACAGTAGGATTCCTCGCTAATTCCTCTCGTTCCTCCTGAGTGAGCCCACCTCCTTCCATTTCTGCACTTGAAGACGCAGACGCTTCATTGACTCCATTCGAGAGCGGTACCCCTCCCACGGCCCCCTCCGGAACTGCAACCGAAGGCTCCTCAGCCACTTTTTCAATAAGTTCAGGAAAGAGAGTCTTCATTTTAAGAGAATGAAACAGATGCTGCTGGTCTCTCAGAGCCATCGAGAGATCCAGAGGTTCCTGAGTGTAGTTCTCCTTCAAAATGTTCTCGTAGAACTCAGGGGTCTCAGACTCTTCAATGGGCCATCGGTTCCACTCCATTGAGCAGGAGACGACACTGGCAGGACACACCGTCAAATGCTTAGCCACGTTTGAGCGGCACATGATGAACGGGCAGCCGTATTCGACATTGAGACAAGGCACCCTGTCATTGGGGCACAAGAGCATGTGTTCTTCTTCCTTGCACAGGTGAAACACAGCACCGCACAGCAAACGGCAGCTCATGATCGCACATGACACAGAAATCTCAATCGCCATCTTGCAGCGCCGGCTGTGGCAGCTCTCGCAGTGGCGATGAAGCTTCGATGGTTGGGTCCTTAGTCTACCCTGTGAAGAAGTGCAAGATAACAGAGTTTTTACAATGTTTTAGACTGAACAGAAACTTTGTGTATTACCATAACTACAAGTGAATGTCAATGACATGTCAATGTCAATGCTAGTCAAATCTCAGATCTAGAAGAACATCATAGTCTTGGAATTAATACATATGCTATATGTACATAATATACACGTTTTTGCATATTCCGCCTCTTAGATGTAAAACCTTAAATGTATTTTAGAAATATCATTAATCCTAAGCTAATGGTAAAAGCCTAAATGCTTCTTGCAGAAACAGAGCAGATATTTAGACTGCTATGTTTACATCTTGTATTTGGCAGACACTAAAAAAAGCAGAGAAAATTTGACCTACCATAGTGTTTTTACTGTGAACCCCACGCTGGTGTTCGGCTCAGTCACTAAAAGTTTGAGTGAGCTTATTTCTGTGTCTGCACACTAGTTAAATATAGACACTTTTTATATACTGGGAGTGTGACTATGACTTTGGCATTCAAGAGTCGAGTTACATGTTCTGTAACCATAGCTGCTCTAGGTACTCTGTGTTTTCAAGACATCCAAACTCAGCGGCAGTTCAAATAGAATGCGTTTTTGCATTACACTGCCCTGCATTTTAATGATTTCTCTTTGACTGCTGCACAGCATCTAGTTGATTTTTTTAAACGTTTTTAAGATGCTGCCAAGTTTAAAGATGTTTTTAATTTGATATGTCATCTTAAACTTTTCTTAAGCTTTTCTTTTCCATTGTGCTGCATTTGGCTGTTTGAATGCAATAATTAATTCATGCACATATGGTGTTTTTAAACATTTTCAGTATTATTTATTTACATTTGTTTGTTAGGTCTATTTATTCAACAGTGCTTTTCTAATCATATGGGGCACACAAAAATTATACATTTTACTCTATGGGTTCATTATACCCATTCATGCTTGCATGTTTGAACAAAAAACATAAAACATGACAAGAGCTATGGAAATCTAGAGTGAAGAGAAGAAACACATTCGTTGAATTTAAAGTTTTATTGTCTAAATTTAAGTTTTACAGAGAGAGAATAAAAGGCCAAATTCAGTTAGAAATCAAACACACAAGAAGTACCTTTAAGACCTGAACATCTGGGATTCAAAATTTAATTTAAACCTAAAAAATAAAATTATTAATAAATAACCATAAATAATAAGATTCTGCATTCTAGGCCAGTGGTTCCCAACCCTGGTCCTGGAGGCACTCCATCACTGCACGTTTTGCATGTCTCCTTAATCAAACACACCTGATTCAGGTCATCAGCTCATTAGTAGAGACTCCAAGGCAGGGGTGTCCAAACTCAGACCTGGAGGGCCGGTGTCCTGCAGAGTTTAGCTCCAACTTGCCTCAACACACCTGCCTTCAAGTTTCTAGTATGCCTAGTAAGAGCTTGATTAGCTGGTTCAGGTGTGTTTAATTGGGGTTGGAGCTAAACTCTTCAGGACACCGGCCCTCCAGGACCAAGTTTGGGCACCCCTGCTCCAAGGCCTGAAATTGGTGCGTCAGAGAAAGGAGACATGCAAAATGTGCAGTGTTGGGGTGCCTCCAGGACCAGGGTTGGGAACCACTGTTCTAGGCCACTTAATAAATTAGCAATTCTGTGACCGTGATAAAGTGGAAACGACTACTGTCATTAAAGCAAAAATGTAACAAATATTTGAACATTCTGAAATGATCATTTTTAAATTAATTGTTACACTCCAGTTGTTATGTAAAATATTAATTTAATAGTAGTAAATATTAGCATAATAGAAATAGAATCATTTTCACTAGTGGACATTTGAATCTCACTCTGCCATTATAACATTTAAGCCAGAAATTCCAAATAAAAGTTCCAGTTACAGTATCATCTGTGTCCCATAAACAAAGAAACCAAACTGTCTCTCTCCTTTCCTTTCATACTGGCCATGGCAAAAGGCTCAGTTTTCAGTTCAGTTTGGTAGAATGGACAACATTTCAGGTGCTCAGCCATTGATGGTGTGCCACCGATACACCAGTCACCCACTTTACTAAAAAGAGTACTGAACTCCCAGACCTAAGAAAGAACGATAGAGAAATATAAAGGAAATAGCATACAGGTGCATCTCAATAAATTAGAATGTCGTGGAAAAGTTCATTTATTTCAGTAATTCAACTCATCAATAAATCAATGCAGATTTTGAATTGTTACAATCTTTTTAGAAATAAACAAATGGTTGGTTGGTTTAATTAGTTGCTATAATAATTTATAAAAAATAACTTAATATATTTTAAAGCAATTCATTAAACAAATGCTGAAATGTCTTACTTTGGTAGGTTTCCAGCTGGTTCCTCCATGAGAGTATGACTTCTTATGCCACTTAAAGCCCACCATTCCTCTTTCCTGCAGAAACGTGGCACATATATCCCTGAACAATCGGGAGACCAAGGCTAGCTGGGACAGAGTAAAACTATCCAGGTAACTAGCGATGTAGTAAAGCACCTCAAAGGGAAGGTTACTGAGAGAATCTTCATATTTGACATGTGCCTGTAGTGGAACGGTCTGTGAATCGCTCCTAAGAGAGGCGGTAACCTCAGGTGTGAGGGTGAAAATACTGAGGTCTTGGTTATAGGAGACTTTGGCCCTGTGTGTGGATGGCTGTAATCTTCTCTGACTGAAAGTGCAACCAAGGTAGGCTAGAGGACATCTCTGCTCAAACCAGCCACTCAAAGAGGACTGGATATCCAAATGCACATTCTTAAAGTGTGAGGCAAACTCATCCCGACGGAAGAAATGACCACACAGGAAAGTGAATACTGAGGTTGATTTGTTGTGTCTGAGGGTAACCGTTTCTGTATCAAGGTCAACGTGAAGTTTCAAACCCCTGCCTGCTGTAATTTCAGTCAAAGTTGCGTTGTATTTGAAGGGAGCTGTGGAAAAATTATACGTTTGTGTTGCGATATCAACATAAAGTCCATCTGTTGGCACCATTTCACTTATTTTGTGGCCCCTTATCTCAGCCTCTGCATGACAGAGTAGGGTTGAAAACATCTCATCCATCTCCCCGCCATCTTTCTCAGATATATCCAGGTCAGATGTGCCAACGCATTTGTGCTCGGTCATTACTCTCGTATTGAATTCTCTAAGTTGAATGCGTCTCTGTTTGTAACTACTGGGAACCTTGAAGGAACGTAAAGTCTGGACTGGTATTGGCTCCAAGCTCCCATAAACAAAATCTCTCTCTTTGGGCGTGCAAGCATCCATTTGACCAAAGGAGATCAGCATGCGCCCATGATGCACTATGTACATGTTGAATTCTCTGGGTTTCACCTCACGCTTAAGTCTCTCCAGGACACCATCCTGCCAAGGTGCCAGTCCAGTTTTGGAGATATCCACATGGGATGCATTTGCTTCTTTTTTCTCAGGCTCTACAGAAGCTCCTTGCGGCTTTGAAGAGCCTTTAGATGTATTTTTTCCTTTCTTTTCTTCTGTTTTTGACGCCTCTGCCTCTGCCTGCCTGCAACCACCCATTTCCATGCTAAACATCTTTTCGAACAGATTGTACTTCTCCTTGTCAACAGGACCATTAAGGACCATATCTTCTCCATGTCCATTGATGTGCATCCCATTACACACAGTGTTTTTTCCTACCGCTCCCTCCACAATGTCGTACTTCTCCACTGGGGCAGGTTCCTCTTCTTGTTCCTCCATTAACTCAGGAAAGTAGCTCCTCATTTTCAACCTGGCACATAGATGTTTCTGGTCTCTCAGTGCCATGGAAAGGTCCAGTGATTCCTGCTCATGGAGCTCTTTTAGAAGGTTCGTATACAAGGGGGCTTCTGGGTTCTCAAGAGGCCAACGGTTCCACTCCATCGAGCAGCAGACAACGCTTGCGGGACACACCTCAAGGTGTTTGGCCAGCCGAGAGCGACACATGGTGAAAGGGCACCCATAGTGAGCATTAAGGCAGGGCACGTTCACATTGGGACACAGCAGAGAGTGTTCATCCTCCTTACACATGTGGAAGGAGGCCCCACAAAGCAAGCGGCAGTTGATGACCATGCATGACACGGACACTTCTATGGAGGCTTTGCATCGGCGACTGTAACAGGTCTCACAATGTCTGTGCAGCCTCGGACCAGATCTCCTATAGCGACTCTGTGGGAAAACACAATAGACAAGCACATCAAAGCACTTACACTGGTTCCAAATTGGAATTTCATAAAGACAAGCACAGACTTCATTCTATATTGTTGTATCTCCAATAGAAACAGGGGCTTTCTCATTCGAAAGCACATTTTGATTGGACAAAAATTTGGATAAAAGGGATCCGGTGAGAAGTGACGAAGCGCAGAGGAGAGAGCAAAACAAAACACTGGTCATGATTAGAAGGACAATTAGAAGTACAAAACGAGGATTTGTGAAGAATAATGTTGGAGGATTTCGATATAAGCCAAGAGGAGAATAGTTTTGCTTTGCTCCTGTAAACAAAACTTGGTTCTCGTGAGACTAGCATATTCTCATCGAAGCTTACGCTATGCCTACGTCCTACCTACATCATCCGCTGGAAAACCACTCTCTCGTGAACGCGCATAGTGTTTATAAAGTTTTAAATATGGATATTTTTCGTACACAAACGCATCGATTCAATTCTTTTTATGATGGATGGATGTGCTTTATTGGACTTCTATTGGACTATTGAATATCAACACCCATTCACTGCCATTATAAAGCTTGGAAGAGTTAGGATATTTTTTTAATATAACTCTGATTGTATTAGTCTGAAAGAAGAAAGTCATATACTGTACACCTAGGATGGCTTGAGGGTGAGTAAATCATGGGGTCATTTTAATTTTTGGGTGATCTGTCCCTTTAATTTAGATCTATCTGATTTTGAGTCAACTTTTATGAATACAATAGCATATGAATGGCCTCTGTAATGCTGGGGCCAAAAGAGAGATGAGGTGGATCCGATCACAGAGAAGGTTTATTTACTGAATAAAATTAAACAAAACATGGGTAAACCAGGATAACATGGAACAGGAGCAGATCAGGAACATAGAACACAAGCATCTACAAGAAACAACAACTGACCAAACACAGGGGTATATATACACAAGTTAACCATGGTTAACAAGGGACAGGTGTGGGTGATTACTTGTCATGGAGATTAACAAGGCAAACAGAGACACAGAACACAGGAAGGAGAGCACAGAATAATAATGCTCCATAATATAATGCTACCAGATTCTGTAATTCAACTCTGTATCATGACATACAGGTGCATCTCAATAAATTAGAATGTCGTGGAAAAGTTCATTTATTTCAGTAATTCAACTCAAATTGTGAAACTCGTGTATTAAATAAATTCAATGCACACAGACTGAAGTAGTTTAAGTCTTTGGTTCTTTTAATTGTGATGATTTTGGCTCACATTTAACAAAAACCCACCAATTCACTATCTCAACAAATTAGAATATGGTGACATGCCAATCAGCTAATCAACTCAAAACACCTGCAAAGGTTTCCTGAGCCTTCAAAATGGCCTCTCAGTTTGGTTCACTAGGCTACACAAGCATGGGGAAGACTGCTGATCTGACAGTTGTCCACAAGACAATCATTGACACCCTTCACAAGGAGGGTAAGCCACAAACATTCATTTACAAACAAAATATCACTGTGAAACCAATATTTTAATAATGAGAATATTAAATGAACATACCATTATTATCTGAAGCAGTGTCAATGAGCTACAGCAGCTTCTGGGGGGAAAAGGTAGTATTTTACTCATTAAAATATATGTATACACATATTGATCAGTTATAACACAGTTATCTGTATGCATTTATATATTACATTGTGCTAAAACACAAATTTTCCTTATAAAAGTACCTGGTTTTGTAAGACCTTGCTGTATACTTAAGGGCAAGCGGTTGCAGACAGCACTGACAGCAGAAGCTAAACAGTTACCAAACAACTTACCTAATGGGTGAACCATGTCTCAAGAAGTTCCCTGGCTTGTTCCAAGACTCCTTTCTAAAGAACAGGATGTGGGTCATGTTAAAAATAGTTGCCTCAGCTGTCAGTAGCAAGTTACATGACTTGAGGATACTGAGGAAAAGTTGACAAACACATGACAAGCATAGTCAAATAAAAAGCCATATATTTTTGTCTATCTTGCTATAATTAAAGCTCTTTACTACCTACAGAGGGCGAACAAAGGCAGGCAGAAAGAGTTTAAACTTGTTTGTTTTTTATTGTTTCACCAGGGGGTCACTAGATGGCAGTCTTTCCTTTTGGTTTATGGGACTGGGATCCCCAAGAACACAGCGTATTATTCCAGAAACCTTTTGTTATCTGAACACAAACATATTTTGTGCTCTTCTCCATCCTTACCCTTTCCTTATTTTTCATTAATGAGTTTTTGTCATGTGATGTTCCTGATGTAATTGCGTTTTTATCAGGAGGCTCAGGAACATCCATCCATCCTTTTTCCAAACTGCTTGTTCTATGTAAAGTTAAGGGGATGCTGGAGCCTATCCCAGCATCTCTGGCCATCGCAGTGCTGGCTCAGAAACAAGTAAAATTCCAAATTTATATTGATGCAGTTAACTAATATAACTTTTTACAAGTTGGCCATCATGTAATTCTACAGAAAAATGCATGTGTAGTTTTGTGTGCAATGCAGTTGTATGCTATCTTATAATAGGCCTATACTATACCACAGTATATTCGTAGAATAGAATAGATTTTTATTGTCATTGTAAAAGGAACAACAAAAATACATTTAGCAGTTCTTCAATAGCAGAATAGCAATAAACACTGTATATAAAAAATGACAATTGTGAAAAGAGAAACATGATGTGAATGAAAATGTGAGTATAAACAGACATATATAAGACATATATACAAAATGGCAAAGGCTTAAATATAGAATGAAGATATAAATGCACTATAGTAACCACATTTCCTGGCAAATTATCATGATGTGGTTAATGTCATTAGTAAAATGAATATGATATATTCAATCAAAACGTGTAACTTTTAAAATAGTTAATTGTATTTTTGTGTTTTGTTTTCACTGGTGGATACCAAGTAACAAGTGCCAATACCTTTTCTAAATGTAGTATTTTTCAGCGAAACTATAATTACAATGGTAAATTTTTGAAAGAGGTGCTATATGGTAAGCCAATTAGTACATAGCCTACTATAGTACAGTGTAGTATAGTATACCAAATAGTTCCACTATAAACATTCATGTTTAAATGTAACACTTAAAATATGTGTGAATTAATTGTGGTAATTAAAATAATTATTTTTATAATCAGTTCTATCAAATGTGGCCTGTAATCATTTTGTTCAATCTTTGTGGGTCCTCTCTGGTCGTGACATTTCTAGTTTTCTAACATGTAGATCAAACACTTTTGTAAATGTTTTATATCAAATTAAAGAAGAAAATATGCTGACTCAGATTACTTTATATCCATCCAAATAAAATACAGCATTAAATGTTACCTTCCAACCCCCAAAATTGTAATATTTTTTCCCTTTTATTTATTTTTTTGTCCTGTAAATCCTTCATATGTGTACACAGAGACATACAACTTCTAGAGTCACCTCAGGAGGGTGTAGTAGCCTACATGCCAAACACTGCGCAGTCGCCTAATCATGTCCTCATGTTTTACTGTAGGTGAGCGGGATCAGACCAGTAGGAGTCACCGCTACACTCGCTTTCTCGCTCTTCTGAACCTCTCAGTGATAGAGCAGGGAAACAACATGCCGGAAGTGGGGTTTCGGGAGACAGAGTTTCGGGACTCGTAACCGTGGAAAGTTTACTCTATTAAGAAATCTACTTTTCCCGAGAATTAAAGCTGTTCGTAGGGTTCCTTTCACTGTTTCATTCATCCGCACTTTCACAATGGGGCTCCCGGCGCTGGAATTCAGTGATTCTTTTCTGGACAGTCCTGACTTCAGAGAGCGACTCAAATGCCACGAAATTGAGCTGGATCGTACTAATAAATTCATCAAGGAACTAATCAAAGATGGAAATATGCTTATCAGTGCGCTTAAAAGTAAGTTACAGGTCGTATGTCTTTTTAAATGTAAGATAATCTATGATTCATTGAGGTTTATAAGCGAGAAAGCTCAGATTTTTTTATGTAAATATATCAGGATTCTCAGAATATACAGTATATATATATATATATATATATGTATGTATGTATGTGTGTGTGTGTTAAAGACATTTCATTTAACTACTTAAAACTGCAGCTCCATATGTAAAGGGTCTTCATAGACTTATTAAATATTTAATCTCATAGAGCAAATCATTACACACATATTTAACCACTCTAATATCAAACAGGTTGAAGAAGTAGTGAGCATGTACAGGGTTGGTGTATGCCATCATTTAATGCTTGTTTATACAGCTGGGATCTGATGTGATATCAGAAAGGAGACAAGTCTCTGCTAGATATGCTGTTATCAGCCACTTCACCAGCAAGGCTCATTCGGGCTTTTGTACCAAACAAAAGGCAGTGAATGTCTTCCCAAAAAGACCTACATCTTGTTTTGCACTAATGCTTTAATTGACTAAGTATTTGAGATGTCATCTCCTTCCTTTTAGTTTGAACAAATCACTGCTTATATAATATTACAATAATAATAATGAATATGCTCAAATTATAAGGAAGCTCCATCACATAACTGTTTGTTGTCTCTTTGACAGATCTATCTGCAGCTGTGCAGAAATTTTCCCAGTCCCTACAGGATTTCCAGTTTGAATGCATCGGAGATGCAGAGACAGATGATGAGATTAACATTGGTAAGTGGTTGGCAAATGATCAAGAAGAAAATTATATAAACATTCATGTGATTTAGTTAATTATACAATTTCTTACATGGATAGTTTACCTAAAAATGTAGTTTCTGTCATCATTTACTTACACTTATGTCTTTCTGAACCAGTATGACCCTCTTTCTTTCATGCAACTCAAAATAAATTTAACAGTATGTTGAAGCTGCTCTCACCCATACAATAATAGTAGATGGGGACAAGTAGTCAAGCCCAAAAAAGAGGAGTTCATATGACTTCTGAAACCGTATAACAGCTTTGTTTGAGAAACAGATTGAAATTGAAGGCATTGTATATCTCTTGCCTTGAAAATTCAGGTTGATCACATTCATTGTATGAAATAATCAGCTTGGTCATTCAGCTATAATAACTCTTTTGTCTCACAGAAGAAAGAAAGTCATACAGGTTTGGAATGACAGGAGAGTGTGTAAATAATGGCAGAACATTCATTTGTTGAGTGAACTATATCCCTTTAAGCTGTAAACAGTGATGTAAACTGAAACAGTCTCTAAAATGTCCATGTCTCCATGCTGGCTTTTTATTTGGTGCTGCCGTCCTCAGTCACCCATCAGCAGTAACAAATAATGTCTAATAAAGCTGAGAACACTGCATATTGCTGTTGTACCTCAGCTCCATAGTATCAAACACAACAGTGATGACTCTTTATCAGACTGAGACTATTGCTGCCTGGCATTTAGAAAACCATGAACCCAAACAACCGTCTGCAAGGAATGAAAATGTTCCTTTCTGGCCCTGGCTGCCCATATTGGTCATAACAGTTTTAGATATTTAGACTGGTGAGACTGATAATTTGCAGTTTTATTGTTAAACATTTTAATGTTAAAATTTATACAGTTACTCCTTTTATCATCAAAATGTGCAAAAATCTTTCATTTAATAGGGTTATAAGTATTGGTGATACTGGTTTTGATTGCCAGTAATAATGACTATACACTACCATTCAAAAGTTTTGGGTAGTAATATTTTTACTAACTTTCTGATCAAATAAATGCAGCGTTTGTGAGCAAAACAGACTTCTTTCAAAAACAGTAAAAAAAAAAAAAAAATGACCCTAAACTTTTGAACAGTA